TTTTATAGTTGCTATCCGGAACACAGCAAATGTGATATTTTCTTGTGCAAACACACTTTAACCGTTTAAACTTCACGGTGCAGTAAACCTGGGGTTCAGTAAAAGTAATCATCTCGTAAAAAGATTAAATTTGTATGAAAACATCCGTTACAATGCGGAAATATACCGTTACATTAGGACTGCCACTTATAGTCATGTTTGTTGATTTAATACTGATGTACGGATGATCCCAAGGCGGAGTTTCTCATGAAAACAGAAATTGTACTTCCCATTTCGCCACAATGAGGTTACCTATTTTTATGCTAATAAAACTCATTTTGGTTATTTGGACACCAAAATAAGACCTGAAGTCGATATGAAACCCAATTTATTAATGAAATGTCGCTATTTAGTTTTTTATGAAATTTATTAAATGTAACTTTAACCTTCTCAAAAATGTTGAGTGATAATAAGAAACATATATATGAAGTTTGAAGTAGATACATTAGGAAATAAAGAAGGTATTTAAAAAAAGACAACATTTTTTTTTCATAAAAATTCTAAGTTCAAGGGAGGTAATACTGATAATTTTTGTGCTAGAGTTGTAAACCTCACATATGATGTGGTTGATGACCAGAAACTTATATTTAAAGTTTGAAGTAAACACCTTAAGAAATAAAGAACTTATAGTGAAAAAGCTGAAAAATTTAAATCAGAAATCTTGAAATTCAGGCTATTTGTTGCCATAGCAACCAGAATTTTCAACATAGGAAGAAAAGAAAAAGATGTGCATAATCTCCAGACTGCCATCTACCCATATATCAAGTTTCATAAAAATATTTTCAGTACTTTTCAAGTTATCGCGGGATCCAGTTTTGTGGATGGACGGACTGACAGACTGACAGACAGACGGACAGACAGACGAACGGAGGGTAAACCTAAAGTCCCCTCCGGTTAAACCGGTAGGGGACTAATAATTAAAAGGTGAAAGATAATATTGATTTAGATGATACCCCAGAATTTTTGTGTGTCAAAAAAAAACATGGGTTCCCTTTTGTACTTTGTAAAAAAAACCCTTGGTTCATTTTTGAAAAACTTTTGATGAAAAGATAAAGAAAAAGGAAATCAGCTTTTTCCAAACAGTTAAGGCCCCACGTTTACTTTTTTGTGAAACGTTTACGCGATTGCAAAAGAACCAAAACCCAAACCTTTTAAAAACGAGGGAAATTCTTTGTATTTATACTAAAACCATGTATTAAAAGTGTCCAAATGGGAAAATTTATTTTTTTATTTAAAAATAATTTAATTTTCGGGGGGAAACACAAATGGCCCACAAAATTTTTCCCGCATAGAAACCTTTTTTCCCTTTTTGAAAGATCAAAAGGAAAAATAACTTTACCATGCAGGGGATTGGGGGGTGCTTTTTTTGGTTTTTTTGGTTGGTTTGGTTGGGGGGGGTTGTAAAAAAAATTGTACCTTTTTAAAAAGTTTTTTTTATTTTGGGGAAAAAACCCAAATTTAAAAAATTGTTTAAAATTTTCAGGGATAACGGAAATGTTTAGGTTTATTTTGTAAGCCAAAAAATGGTCTTTTTCCCGTTTAAAACCCGGGGAAAAAATTTCGAAAAACTTTTTTTGACTAAAATCAAAACGAATCCTTTTTAAACCCGGGGTTTTTTAAACCGTGGGGGCCTTACCTAAAATTTAGAAGGAAAATCCCCAAAAAATAGTTTGGGACCCTAAAAGGGGAATATGGGTTTTTGGTTTGTTGTGGGGTTTCAATTTTTGGGGAAAAGCTTAAAATAAGAAAAGCCCCAATTACTTAAAATTAGTTCACCCCACCTTACCCAAACTATACCCCTGTTATTTTTTTACAAAAAAAAAAGGTGAATGTTTATCAATATATAACAATGAGGAAGCTGAAAGGCAACAGTTCGGTAAGCCATTAAAGATACTTATCAGTGTAGATACTTTTGATTTAATTGATTCAGATACTAGCAAATATACATTTAGTAAGACAGATATGAAACAAAATCCAACATAATGACATAAATCTTTTTTGGTGAAATTCATTTTTATTTTTTTTATCAAACAGAATGACTTTAATGTTAAATAAACTTTAAATTCTCTAGTTTAAATATGTGTGTTGATATTTAAAATCATGTTATATATGTAAAATAGCCTATGCAATTACATTCGTCGTGCAGGTTATGGAACTTGTTGTATGTGGTTTTTGCTGATTGTTTTTATGAAAGACACTCAAAGAATAAGCTTTTAAAAAACTTTCTATTTGTTTGTTAAGCTTTGTTGTAATAGTTGCACTTTATGTTTTATTTTACAAGTGCAAAACATTGACATAATCATGTTTTTATCAACCTATAGGTCATTCAACAAGAGGGCCATGATGGCCCTAAATCGCTTACCTGAGTCAGAAATTTGTAAGTTTGGATTTTTTTTTTAAAAAGAGGATTTTGTTTTTTCTTTTTACTTTATGCATAAATGGAAAATCAGGACTGATAATCCTGATGTTGTCGGTTTGATACCTACTCATGCCACTATCATTTTTAATAATTTTGTTTATTTGATGTTTATATAATTTTTCATGTTCATTCATCTTCTTTCAAGAAAATTCTTTTCATGTTCATTCTGAAATATTCTTTCTCCTGTTTAGTATTCTAGATTGTTCATTGATAGAATATAAATGTATATGAATGTTTGTACTTCGAGGTGTGTGTGCTAATTTATACTATTGTGTGATGTTGATATACTGATTGTGTGCTATTGTACTGCTATATATTAGTTTGGATTCTGTTATTCTGTGTGGGAAGTGTTTTTTTAGACATATTGTGATATTCTGCTGTGGACATTGGACATTGTTAAATTTGAGTTGTGGACAATTGAATTTGAACTGTGAGTCATATTTTTTTTAATTATTGTAAATAAATGTTTTTTTCTCAATCAAAAATTGTAGATTTGTTGCGGCGTTATCTTCTCTTTAGTTTTTACTTGTAACAATACACATAGGAGAAAAATCCATGACTCCCTGTGGCGGGGCCAATTTTGACCCCAGGGCTTTTATTGGGAACAAACCTGAAAGACACTCACTAGAAGATGATTCATGCTTAATATCTAAGCTCTAGCTATTTTTTTTTAAGAAGAATATTTTTTTAGATTTTACTATATACATAATTTTATAAGGAAAAATAATGACCCCCGGTGCGAGGCCAATTATGACCCCAGGGATTTTATTTGAACAAACTTGGTAGACACTCACTGGAAGATGTTTCATGCCAAATATCTAAGCTCTAGCTCTTTATGTTTCTTGAAAGAAGATATTTTAAGTACTACATGTACAGTCCGACCCTGGTTATTGGACAACCCTTTATTTGAATACCTGGCATTATCCTTAGAAGATAGGCAGTCCCTTTTTATCTCCATATAAAGCTATATGAATACAAACGTATTATTCCAATTGCAATATCTGAATACCTCCTTTATTTAGAAGTAAAATTTTGTTCCAATTTATACAATTATGAAAGAATTCCACACCTATTATCAATCGAAGCCAGACTAATTGCCGCTGATCCACTTGCTGACTGTAAAAACTTGTTAAAATTTCTAACAACCATGCGTGCATTTAAACAATCTAAAAAATTATGCATACTTTTTAAATTTTCTTTAATTACTGAAAATTATGAAAATTACTTGCATGCAAGTAATTTCTCTTTCAATTATTGGACAGTTAAAAGTATTCAATTTAATAGTTTTAATGAAAGAATGAAAGTAAACAATCTAAATAAAGAAACAAATAAACAAGCAAACACTACCAAACACATGTATACAAGTATATGAATACTGAAAAAATTCTTTTTCTATTTCAAATCAGTGCATTTTAAGCACAAGATATACTAATAGTGAATACATGTCTATCTTATCTATGATTAAAATTCTGCACCGTGTCAGATGTTTTATAGTAATGCATGAAGATGACATGATAATTTTTCATGTATATTGAGGAACAAAATGCAAGTATTTATGTCTTCTTTACCAATAAAATTTAATTTTTTATGCATCTTATGTTGTTTATTTATTTTTTCTCGGACTGATTAATTGAAACAAAAGTGTGTTGTAAACTGTACTTTTGCTATGGTTTGGTGTTACAGTTGAACAGTTGTCGTCTACCACTATATTTGGATTTCGAATTATTCGAACCCATTGATTATTTGAAGTAAATTTTCAGTCCTCAGCATTCAAATTTTAAACATTTTTTTACTTCTCTATGACAAGATAGGACATTTTTATGATGGCTGCTTTGTGCCATTCCTGTTTTCACCTGCACCCCGCCATGTGCAAAAAGTAGAGAATTAACAAGTTAAATGGCGAGGCGCAGAGCGAAAAACAAGCTAATTAGTGGGGTGCGGGGCAAAGTAATAAATAAAACTTCGCCCTGCTGAGCGAGATTTAAGAAATAAAATGGTGGGCTAATTGACGTGTGTTCGCTCCGTGCCCATGCCATTTTAATTTGTTAATTCTCAACTTTTCGCTTGGCGGGCTTACAGGGCAAAATACACTAATTAGCAGGGACGCAGGGAGAAGTTTTATTTATTTAACTTTGCCCGCGCCCTGGCTTATAAGTCTGTTTTCTCTCCAAGTCCCTGCTGTTTTATTTATTTAGGGTGTCAACGTTTAGGAAAAAACACTAACCATTTAAATGGCGCTCTTAATAACCGTGTTAAAGGTTTAACAAACAGTACTAATAAAATCCTTAGATTTTCAACATTTCTTTGCTTCTTTAAGACAAGATATGACATTTTGTTTCTTATTTTGTGTACTCACTATGATGTTACAATACATATTCAAACACTGGAGTTAGTAACTATTTTCTGCTTGGGGTCGTACCGTACTTGATCAGATCCGGAAAAAATTACATTGAGTACAACTTATATACAAATTGTCATATATTGTTTATAAAAAAACTGAATTTCAACTGTCTACTGAAAAACATGTAATACATGTATTTACCTGTTTTCCATACTGAAGACTTTTTCTAGTGAAGTATTCATGTTTATTTTCTGTTCTGTTGTTATTGTTTCTTCTTCTACTTCAATAGCTGATGTAGTAAACATTCCACTCTCATCTTTATATGCACAGAGAGTAGTCACTCGAGGTTTCTGAAATAAGTACATATGTTTTATTGTAATGAATATTTCCTAGTAAAATTCTATTTGCATAGTTATTAGTAAACTTATTGAAACAAATGAAAAATGTGTTGGTGTGCTTTATTTATCTTTTTCTTCTTCAGCCATTTTTTTCTTGTTTTTGTTTGTTGTTTTATAGGTAACAGTGTTGACTGGTTGCAGTGAGTAAAGTAAAAAGGTCATTTGATTCCAAGGAACCATTTTTTTAAATGAAATAATAATATTTACTGAGAGCAATTATAATTATTAACTTGACCCAGAGTCAATGCTGACAACATACTAGTTTTCTCTACTCTTTTTAACAAATATGAGAAGTTGTATCATAACTCCATGAACAACTTAAGCAACAAAAAACAAAAACTACAATGTATACTCAAAAGGAGGCAAATACTAAGGTAGAATCTTTTATAGAAACAATATGGTACCTACATTAGAAATGAGAGGGCTTGGTAAGAACAAAAAGCCGGGCACCAGTCACTTCTTGTTTCAAATGTTAACATCATGATGGTTCCCTTCATCACTCATTATCAAAATATAGGGATTCAGCTACAGTACATTGTACTATAGGGTACCCATCTCAATTGGAATATGCTGCAGTTGTGTGTACTATAAAATTGTATAGAAGTGTTTTGTATAAACCAATTAAACCAATAATTTAATTATGTTATAACTTAGCAACACACTAAAACAGCTTATAAAAAATTTATTTTAGTTTGACTGTGCAGGAAGTTATAACCTAATATATACCGTTTAACACATTCGAATCTATACATGGAACCTATCAGATACTGAGCCATGAAGGTAAAGTTTCCTGATGGCTTGCCTCTGACAGGGGTTTTTAAAACCACACATCTTGTAATCCTTAGATTACTATTCTGACATATTAACCACACAGTCATGCCGCTACTTTACAATAATTATTCACCTATTGCATGAATGTATTTAAGCTTTTTTCAGCTGACAATTATTTTTTTTAATTTTGTTACCTTTCAAACTTCTTTTTTTTTGAACACTAATGATATAAATGTGTATATGCAAATTTTTAATTTTTTTAATTTTTCAAAGTTTTTTTTTGGCGTTTTGGTTGGGTTTATATTGGCACCAACAGTTTATGTCATATGGAGTCTTTTCCAGCTTTACTGGTGAATTAGGACCCAAGACCTTAGGTTCCCCTTTGTTCATTACTTCAGACTAACCATGCACCTGAGTAGAACTACCAAGTTCTTTTAGCTAGATTGATAACTTCCTAACATGAAAGAATTTGTAGATGCTGGCGCAGATGAGAGTTGAGGCAAGTGGTTTGAAGTCAACGATGTTCAAAACCACTAAGCCACAGACGCCCCAAAAAAATTATATTACCATGACCAATATAAGGGTAAGTTGGATAAACCCCATTATTTTTTTAACAATAAATTAAGCAAGAAACTTCTCCTTACCTCCATCCAGTAATTCTGATGCCACCTGAGGACACCTGTAGAATATATCTGCCCTCCCCAACATTACCAGCATATATAGTGGCAGTCTGGGTACTAAATCCACTGTGATCTAATTCTTGAATCTCCTGACCAGTCTGTAAAATCTGTAACATACATGTAACGAAAATATTGATTCTTTCTCTAATCAATTTCTATAGAGTTCATTTGAATAGGCATTATTAATTGCTTTACTATTACTAGGATTTTTTTATAAAATCTTACAAACTTTTTGATTTTGTAACAGAAAGATGCAACTGAAACTGAAAAATTCCCATCTGTTTGCTTTGAACTTGCCACAATACACCGATAAACACTTTCCGAACTAGCAGACAACAGGCTATTCTTATCAGTAGTTTTTTCGGGGAGAAAAGATAACCGGTTGCATATCCACTGTATTAAATTGTATGTTAAAATGGTCTGACATATGGTGGGTTTTAACAGTTAATTTAAAATATTTCAATGTCAAAAGATGTGTTGAAGAATATCTGTTGACGAAGCTAAGATCCTAGGCTTTCCATTGGTATAATAAATTTTTGAAATCGGACATTGAATTACAACAAACTAGCGGTTTAAAAACAGCTAAATTTGTATTGTTTTAGATTAAGAGATATCGAGTTTACTCGAAGATAGGGGAAACAACTTGTACTTTATCACTCAATTACCTTGGTTATTAACTAGTTCATATTGAAAGTGTTTATGGGTGTATTGGCTTATAAAATATATAACCACAACACAGCTAAATAAAACATGTCCAAAAGAAGGAAAAAAGAGCAGCCTATTATGATGAATAATTTTTCAGCTACAAACAAACACAAACAGGTCTTGATCATGGGTTCTGACCAAGTCAGGGGCAAGACATTTCCTAGAGCGCAAGAAACTTATTCATTGCATAGTACTGGTTGGTTCCAGAACAGATTCAAGAGTGTTTCAAGCTTCCAACACAAACTAAACACACAACTAAAATAAATTTGTATAAAACAAACACAACAATGTAGATCACCGAGCCTAAGAATCTATAATTATGTTGTATAGGCCTGATAAAGTTACTTTAAAAGGCCCTAAAACCAGTTATTATTATTAAAATACCATGCCAGAGTCCGGTTGACTTAGTATCAGGAACTTACCATACTAGAGTCCGATCGACTTAGTATCAGGATCTTGCTATACTAGAGTCTGGTCGACTTAGTATCAGGAACTTACCATACTAGAGTCCGGTTGACTTAGTATCAGGAACTTACCATACTAGAGTCCGGTCGACTTAGTATCAGGAACTTACCATACTAGAGTCCGGTCGACTTAGTATCAGGAACTCACAATGCCAGAGTCCGGTCGACTTAGTATCAGGAACTAACCATACTAGAGTCTGATCGACTTAGTATCAGGAACTTACCATACTAGAGTCCGGCCGACTTAGTATCAGGAACTTACCATACTAGAGTCTGGTCGACTTAGTATCAGGAACTTACCATACTAGAGTCCGGTTGACTTAGTATCAGGAACTAACCATACTAGAGTCCGATCGACTTTAGTACATGTATCAGGAACTTACCATACTAGAGTCCGGTCGACTTAGTATCAAGAACTTACCATACTAGAGTCTGGTCGACTTAGTATCAGGAACTAACCATACTAGAGTCCGATCGACTTAGTACATGTATCAGGAACTTACCATACTAGAGTCCGGTCGACTTAGTATCAGGAACTAACCATACTAGAGTCCGATCGACTTAGTACATGTATCAGGAACTTACCATACTAGAGTCCGGTCGACTAAGTATCAGGAAGGCATGACCATCCTGTATCTCTTTCTCATCATCGTCTTTGTCACCACTTGTTTTTGGTCCTGTCACTGTCCACATGTTCACACAGCTGGGTAACTCAAATGTTGTCACAACTTGTGGTCTAATACTTCTCTGAATGGGAAAACAAGGAACTTAGTTTGTGTTATCTTACTTAGACATCAACAAATTTAAAGTTCATTGAACTGCTTATCAGTTCACTGCTTAGAACAACTTAGTTTAAATATCACAGGATAAAACAATTATATACATGTGCGATAAGACTTGAATCATACTGGGCTAATTTGTGAAAATGACAACATAATATTGACTACTGTGTCAAAGTTTTGTTAGGTTTAATTAAGTCAGAACTACATTGTAAAGGACATATGGTGACTCTTTTTTTTTAGCTTTACTTGGTGGAGGAAAACCTCAAGTAACCATTAATGCATTACTTCAGGCAACTTGAGTAGAACAACCAACCTTCAGTTAGCTGGATTGATAGGTACCTCAAATTGAAAGCTAAAGTCCCTGAAATGATATAAACCAACAAGGGTGAGGGGCAAGTGATTTGAAGGCAGCAACATTAACCATTCTGCAAAATAAGCCATGTAATTAAAATTTTTTACCTGTAATACTGAGAGAGCTCCATTTTTACCATAACCGGAAGGTTGTGACCAGCTCTAGGTCAGGATCTACTGTATTACTTGAACTCCTCGGATAGGAATGCCTGGTTCCCCCATAACAATGTTACCACATGGTTGCTATATTCCATATATTGTCACAAACCTAGATCGATGGAATTTGTTGAAAAAATTATGTAGATGCAAACGTGTCAGTGAAAAAAATAAAGAATCTGGCTGATAATCAACTGGTGCTTTCATGCTTTTCTAGCATATGATAAAAATAACTTGGTACTATAAATCTATGGTACTATAAAATAAGCTTTATTTTTGAAAAGATGACATAAGTCAAGTTTCAGCTAAAGCTACATGCACTTCAACTGACAATCCGATTTTCATAGACAATTTGTGAAATGAGGTTTTGCAAGATAACCAGTGATTTAAAAATGTTAAAGTGTATAAAGCTATATATATGCTGAATGTAGTGAAAGAATATTTTGGTTTGAAAAAGAATAATACAAAATTACCGTATGAAAGAGATTCAGATATGTTTGTATATTCCATTTAGAGCAAATGGTGCATGCACTTAAACATTTCTGAACAGTTAAAATTCTAATTCTTTAAATAGCAGCACTGTATTTTGATCTGGAACATTTTGTTCTGTTTACGTATAATATTTCATTGTTATGAGTGATAAATAACACAGACATTTTATTTAAACAAGTATTTTTCTCTCTTTGCGAATCAACCATTAGATTATGGAAACAGCATAATTTTACCTTATATAAATTTCATTTGATATATATTTTTATACCATCTCAAGATAATCCTTTTCAACTTGTGGACATATGACTCATTAAACCTATATAAATTTTACAATTATTACAAATGTACAAAACTGCTTACCTCAAACACATAAGATGTAATAGTGGTACCAGATGGGTTCTCACTAGAACCATATACCTCTAACTCATCTAGATTCTCCACTAGAGACACATCAGATGCTGACAATACAAATGATATATTTAGTTTAATTGGTTTTGTTTCTGATTTTTAACAAAATAAAACCAGCATGCATAATTCCTTATAGGGAAAATATATGGACATAAAGCACAATTAGGACTAAACAGAACTTACTTATTCAGTAGAGTTACTAATCAGTTGATTTTTTTCTATATTTTACAGTCGAATGAAGGCTGTTTCCCCAGCGCAAAATAGGTATATTTTCTGCCCTAAAGTATGCTATATTTTCCTTTGAAATGCCCCTGTGCACATTCTTTACCAGAAACCTTGACTTAAAATCAGCTATCAGTTAGTTGGTAAATTTAATTTGACTTTGAAAGACAGAAAGCTGTCCCTATAGATAGCCTCTGCAATGTTCCATGCTTGTTCAATTGAATTGAAATTTTGAAAATTGTTATAAAATATGTTGGTAAATTTCTATTTTCAGGTTGTTGGAATTTGATTTCGGGTTTTCCCCTTTTCTGATTCATCATGCTAACATTTTACCCTTCAGAATGCCACAGGTTGTTTTGAAAATTGAAAAAAAAAATCACTGCTTATTATCTCAGCCAATACCAAATGTGAAAAAAAAAACCTTTTAAATAATACAATGATATACAAAGACATTTCAAATACATGTAAATAGTTATACCCATATCCGTGGGGCCATCAGTTTTCTTTTTCTTTGTAGGTGGCTCACTCTATAAGATAAACAAATTTAAATGAGAGGAATCTAGTTAAGGAAAAAACTAATCTCTAAATTTGTCAATGAAGCAAGATATCATCAGGTGGTATATAGCAAAGAATCAGATTTCAATAACAAAATATGATACAAATGATTATCTGATTTTGTTTGGAAATAAACAGAACAAAATAATCTAGAATAGTGTCCATAATAAACAGGTGTCCCCATATGCCAATGTTTTGTCAGCTTACGCTCAGACAGCAAGACAGCATGATAGACGATGCAGCAATACTCTTTTCCTTAACCTGCTTGATTTCTAAAACAAACTTGGTATAGCTTTTTTTTTTGATTTTGGATTTGGATATTTTTTATATCTAAATGAAAATAAATGTTAGTGAACCATCAGTATAGAGCCTGGTCAGACCTCAAGGATGTTCAGGATGGCCTGGCTCTGTACTGGTGACAATGACTATAAACACTATCAGTTCTAGCAGGTTACAAGAAATAACTGAATACATTATTTCTTAATGAATTTATAAATATCATCTGTTGTGCTTTTCAGCATAATAGAATGTAATGGGTTATTAAATTGTGAAGTAACTTACTGGTTTATCTGATGAAGATGATGCTTTCTCTGTGTATTTTAGAAGGAGAGAATTACCAAGTCTTGACCCAAGAAATAAGTAACCATCTTCACATAAACACATCTACACAATAAACAAACAACAAATATATCACACTATCTATTAATCAAAAACTCAAAAAGTTTTAAATTAACACTTTGCTTGAATTATTTTAAGAATTTCAAACAGTATGAAAAAGGATATTAACCTTTTCGCTGCCAGAGGATTATTGTTTTATTGATCACCTATTTGCCAGAGGGTTTTCTAAGAAATTACTATATTATATAATTAATTAATATAATTATTATTATTTGTTATAGTATTATAATAATTATATATGTTTCCAAATCTGTGAGTATAATAATAATTATTGTCGATGGTATAATTTTCTTTATATTTATTATTATTTTTATTATTATTATTATTAATTTATTATTATTACTATTACTATTATAGAAACGGCTAAAACCGTCCATATGGCAAATACTCCGAAAATAACAGGGAAGGCATAAGCCGTCCCTATGGCAGTGAAAGGGTTAAAGATACAGAAATATATATATATATTATTAAAAACTTATTTAAAGTTAAAACTTACACATGTAGTAAGAACACTGGCAGCTGATTTATCAAAGTTAAAACTCCTAACACTCCTCATGCCATCCACCATCAATGTTAGAACATACCTACAACAAAAAAATATAATTAAAATGGGCATTATCAGCACAACTTATCTCTCTTACATTTTACATGATAAAAACTATTTTGACTCTACATTTTTATTGTTTATTGTTTTCTTTCCGAAATATGAATATGATAGATGGTAAAATAAAGACCATCTGTTACTTGAGACTATCTTTAAAGTAAATCTATTTATAAACATTGTACTAGGAATACTTACAGTTCACCACCTTTCAAGGACAGCACTAGTTTATCATATGAGATGAAGGCTGCATTAGAACAATCTAAAGTTATCCGAACTCCTTCCTGTACCCCTGTACAAATATAAATATTATTATTTGGTATGTGAATAAATGCATAATACAGTTTTGCAGCGACTTGTAAATTTATGGTAACAACTTGTATCAATTAAGAAACAACACACAAAAACAACAAAATACATTTTATCTTACCAGCTTTACAGGTGGAGGAAGACCTCACTCAGGCACCCTACTGTGCATTATTTCAGACAAGAACAGAAATCTGAGTAGAACCACCAACATTCCATCAGCTAGCCGGATAGCTTCCTCACATGAAAGAATCCAAAGTCCCTTTCTGGATTCAAACCAACAACAATGAGCAGCTTGTGGTTTGAAGTCAACACCCTTACCCTGCAGTGTTTAATTTTCACACAGTTGTAAATGTGTACCGGTGAGGGCAGCATAACAAGAGGGCCTTGATGGCCCTGAGGTCGCTCACCTGTATATAGCCCCCCCACCGGGCCAATTTTTACCCAAGGGCTTTTATTTGAACAGACTTGGTAGACACCCATAAGAAGATGTTTCATGCTAAACATCTAAGTTCTAGCTCATTGGGTTTTTTAAAAGAAGATTTTTTAAGTTTTTACTATACACATATAGTTAAAAACAATGACACCCCTGGGGCAGGGCCAGTTTTGACCCCCGGGCTTTTATTTGAACAAACTTTGTAGATATTTACATAAAAATGTTTCATGTATAATATCTAAACTCAAGCTATTTGGGTTTTTTCAAAGAAGATTTCTAAGTTTTTGCTATACACATATAAGGAAAATCAATGACCCCCGGGGCGGGCCAGTTTTGACCCCAGGGCTTTTATTTGAACAAACTTGGTAGACACTCATTAGAAGATGTTTCATGCTAAATATCTTAGCTCTAGCTCTTTGGGTTCTTTAAAAGAAGATTTTTTAAGTTTTTACTATATGCATATAGGTAAAATCATTGACCCCCTGGGGCGGTGCCAATTTTGACCCCAGGGCTTTTATTTGAACAAACTTGGTAGACACTCATTAGAAGATGTTTCATGCTAAATATCTTAGCTCTAGCTCTTTGGGTTCTTTAAAAGAAGATTTTTTTAAGTTTTTACTATATGCATATAGGGAAAATCTATGACCCCCTGGAACGGGGCCAATTTTGACCCGAGGGCTTTTATTTGAACAAACTTGGTAGACATTCACTAGAAGATGTTTCATGTCAAATATCTAAGCTCTAGCTCTTACGGTTCTTTAAAAGAAGATTTTTTAAGTTTTTACTATATGCATATAGGGAAAATCAATGTCCCCCCGGGCGGGGCCAATTTTGACCCCAGGGCTTTTATTTGAACAAACTTGGTAGACACTCACTAGAAGATATTTCATGTCAAATATCTAGGCTCTAACTCTTTGGGTTCTTTAAAAGAAGATTTTTTAAGTTTTTACTATATGCATTTAGGGAAAATCTATGACCCCCTGGGGCAGGGCCAATTTTGACCTCAGGGCTTTTCTTGGTAGACACTCATTAGAAGATGTTTCATGCTAAATATCTTAGCTCTAGCTCTTTGGGTTCTTTAAAAGAAGATTTTTTAAGTTTTTACTATATGCATATAGGGAAAATCAATGACCCCCTGGGGCGGGGCCAATTTTGACCCGAGGGCTTTTATTTGAACAAACTTGGTAGACATTCACTAGAAGATGTTTCATGCCAAATATCTAAACTCTAGCTTTTACAGTTCTTTAAAAGAAGATTTTTTAAGTTTTTACTATATGCATATAGGGAAAATCAATGACCCCCCGGGGCGGGGCCAATTTTGACCCCAGGGCTTTTATTTGAACAAACTTGGTAGACACTCACTAGAAGATGTTTCATGCCAAATATCTTAGCTCTAGCTCTTTGGGTTCTTTAAAAGAAGATTTTTTAAGTTTTTACTATATGCATATAGGGAAAATAAATGACCCCCTGGGGCCGGGCCAATTTTGACCCTAGGGCTTTTATTTGAACAAACTTGGTAGACACTCATTAGAAGATGTTTCATGCCAAATATCTAAGCTCTAGCTCTTACGGTTCTTTAAAAGAAGATATTTAAAGATTTTTCTTTCCGTTGCCATGGCAACCAGAGTTCTGCATGAAATGGAATTCTTTGAACAATCTTGATAGAGCTTCATACAAAGAGTATTCCTGCCAAGTTTCATTAACATTGGCCTTGCGGTATCATAGAAGATGTCCTTAGAATATTTAAAATGTGGACGGAGGACAGACGACGGACGCCATTTGGTTGGCCATCCTAAAAGCTCACCTGCACTTTGTGCAAGGTGAGCTAAAAATAATTGTGATGGAATGATGTTAACAATACAGACTGTTAGCGATAACTATTCTTAACATTTGATAGGACTATGTATGAACTATGAATGATATTTAACTTTTAATAAATGTAAGTCATTATTTCAAGCATGGTAACACAAAGAAAGCCAACAAGTATTTCAAGATTTGAAGATGATTAAAACAAAAACTTTAAATAAATTCTACCTTTCATAAATCATCCATACTAAAATAAACATATCAAATAAATGTGTTTGTGAATATTCTCACACTTAAAGATTTACAAGATTAGAAAAAATATCAATCATTTATCACCATACACTACAATGAATCCATCATAATTATAAAAGTGATCAGTGACTTACTAAGAGGGAAGGCACTACACGTGGCAGCTATACTGTTCAAGGACACACCATATGGAGGAACACTCTGATTCAGGTATAACAGAGAATTCACAGCAAAAACAAGTACCCCACCTGTAATAAGTTATAAACAATTATATACTTCAAAATGTTTACAACCTGGTTGTCTTTTATACAATTTATAATCATAAACTTGGTGCTATCACTTACATCTCTCACACTATGCAGTGATTTTCCTACTTATATAACAGACTCAGACAAAGGCCTCTTCCCAATTGAAATTTTCTTTAAAATCATGCAGTTTTCCAAAAATCTTAACTTAAACCAGGTTTTTTACTTCCAAAATCAGCAATTTCAGCAATATTTTTTCCCAAAATCAAGAGGCTAAGGCCTCTTCCAAATTATGTGAGAAAAATCACTGCTATGAATGTAATTACAGCATCTGAATATAAATGAAATTTTATTCAGCATTATGACATTTTTTCTAATTGGTACATTATCTTTTTTAGGTGCTGAACACTCAAACAAAAATTTATGTTATTTTACACTTCAGTTTTTCCCTTTCTTATCATTTTTTTTAAAATTACATCTAATGCACTGAGCCTAACAATAAGTACACAATATCAATCTCCATCACACACAGCTTATGAATAATAAATCTTAAAATAATGATTTGACTGTATTAGATATAGTTTGTACTGATTTACCTATTGGTTTAGGAACAGGCATACACTGTAGACAGTCAAAAGGCAGACTTGACAGTGACCAGATGATAGGATGTACCTTCTCTGCTATATTTAATGATATAGCAACTATACTACATGTGTCTGACCGTACAGCCACTCTCCTGGAAATTATATAAAAAATACTGATCTGATGATGACTGAACATTGATGATATACACTGTACACTTATCATAATTAAAGATTAAAATATTTAGGGATATCTCAAAATGATTTGAACCCATTTGCACCATCTGTACATATAAAATGAAGTACATTGTATTTAAACAATAATGAAAATTCAACAAATTATGTTTAATACAATTATCACATAATTTAATTTAATTGCATTAATAACTTTTATAATTTAATTGCATTAACAGTCAATGGATTTAAGATTTTGATTTTACTAGCCCAAATTCAAATTTTGAATTTTATTTATGTTAATATATATTTAACAAAATTTTCTTAAAATTTTCACTGGCCCAAACTAATTTTGGGCTTAATTTGATGACTGCATTAATAACTGTGTTTTTTTTTCTATAAATTATACAGCGAAAACTGAAGGTATTATTCTTTATGTGTAGATTATGTTAAATCTGCAATTTTAAACTTTGGGGGCTATTTTATTATATATGCTACATTCAAAGGGAATATTGCACATGGACTTGTGGATAAACTTTTGAATTAAGAGTAAGAGTGACTTACCCTGCCCATGTAGGGTAAGGTTCATACAGTATAAACACAGTTGGTTCATAATAACCATGTAGAAACTGAAAGTCCAGAATGTTGATAATCTTCTCATCAAAACTTCTTAGGTCTATAATATACGAATTCTGTATTGGATATCTGGAAAGAAAATATGACATTATACTACACTAACTTATACTGATTTCAAATGAAAAGATGTCTGAATATTCATTGTAGATATTAAAACAACAACAAAAGTTTTCCAATAACATGACATGTTGTCAACAAAAGCTGGGGGGGGGTTATTTGGTTAGATTTTATGTCACTTAAAAACTGAATAGGTCATATTTCCAGCTTTACGGAGAGGAAGACAATTTTATTAACAAATATAACTCGATCATAACTGACACACCTAGCTTTAGCTGACTTTTCTCCTTCCATTATACTGTCAACATCTTCAGAATAAACATCTTTACGAAATGGTAGAACAACAAGTTTAGTTCCATAGATCAACATGGCTGCACATCTACCATCAGGGTCTATACGTATTGTAGGGATGGCACAGGGGTCACAAAAATCCTGTAACATAAAAACGGTTTTAAATCTAGAAATACGTAAATACCAAATAATAAAACAACATGAACTAGAATAAACATAGGCCATAGATGTTAAAATTGTTATTAGTTCAACTTTTTTAAACAGACTGTTTAAAGTTTATTTTTGAAGAAGTTTGCATATGATATTTCCTGTAAAACAAGTCAGTACATTTATAGTGATAGAATCCTACATAATCAAGAAAACCTGTAACTAAGGTAACTACCTGCCAGAAGCAGAATATGACTGATATACTGTTAAACTACTTGTAAAACTAATTTAATCTAATGAACCAAAATACAAGCAAATTATCATGAGGACAAACCCTTGTTATTACACTGGAATAGCAGGTTTCATACTGTTAGTCCCTCACCCAATATAACTAACAGTACTGCAGTATTTACCTTTAATTTCTGGTCTTCAAAATGATGAAGTGAAGTTGTTTGAAGGTCATTCATGCCCACATCATATTCAACAACTGATAGCTAAAGAAAAACATACAAGAAATGTATAGAATTTCTAAGAAATTACTAAAAAATATCAGTATGTAAAGAATAGTATATACTGACTCTTAAAAAGTAGTGGCATGGACAAGAGGTTGCAACTTGCAAACCTAGTACTCTAAAGATCCCTAGCGAAGTGGGTTCAAACCTCATCAGTGGCAAGCTAATGCTCCCTTGAGCAGGAAATTTATCACTTACTGGTCAGTACTGGTTGGTTCAAGAAACAGATTCAACATTGTGTTGATAAACTCAACCACAGTAAAATAAATTATATATAAACTCTGTAAAATAGAAAAAAATCTTTTACATACCTTTGCCTCAGAGAATCCCAGTAACAAGGCATCTCTCTGAGCACCAGGCAATCTTACTGCCTTCATGGACATTACATTTCCAAACAAAGGAAATGTTGCTAGACACTCAAGTTTTTGTTTTATATTCTCCTCCTTCCTTTCTTCATTATTCTCCTGTAAGATTAATACAAATGAGTCGCACCATGACAAAACCAACATAGTGCGTTTGCGACCAGCATGGATCCAGACCAGCCTGCGCATCTGCGAAGTTTAATCAGTCAAAATCAAATTTTGCCGGCCCTGACCGACAGTACAGTGTGATCAGGACATTGTTAAAGGCCAGCCTGGGTCTGTACTAAGTCTTATTGCATCTAATAGGCTTTTTTATTCCAGTTTTGTCTCTACAAGAAGATCCAAGATGCTATTCCAAAATTTATTTTCAGGCATCGGCTTACAGCTTTGAATAACCATACCACTTATATGCACAAAACTTGTCCCAAAACTTGAAAAGGATATACTAAACTTGATGTTACATGCTAATAAATGACCAAAAAAAATTGCAAGTATTCATTCATGTCTTCAAAAATGAAATTTATTATTTAACAACTAATGATCAATGAGACATCATAATACATTGAACACTTCAAAAAATATCTAGTACTTTAAGACATCAAATATTAACTGTGCTGACTAGCTTTTATACAATTTTACCTAATGTAATTACAAATGTACTTGCAATTATATCATGCTGTTTAAACAAAGTAATTGATACCTAAGTATGACTGATTATGACAAATTCAACAACCATTAATATAATAATTGCAAAGTTCCTCACCTCAAAGTCTGGATTCAGTCTATAGACATGTATTTGATTGACAGCTGCTATGACAAGGTTGAGTTCTGTTGTGCTGAGAAAGTTACAGTACACACAATGCTCCACCCCAGTAGGTGGGTGCATTTGTTTGTAGATTGCATACATACTGCTTGCTCCTTGACTTTACTTTTCTTTCAATTCACTGAATATCGAAAAATAATATATTATTATTAATTTTAAGCAGCAAGAAGTATCATAACTAACTGCATGTCTATCAATCATAATCAATGTAGTACACAAGTTTAAATACTAAGTATCAGTCTGCTCTCAGAACACTGAGAAAAGCTGTGAAATGATTCATCAAAGTTCGGATATATACAAAAACACTGCTTCAGATCAATTATCCAATTTGGATTTCAATTTTTCAGTTCAGTACGTCAAGGCATTGTGTCAAACGAAAGTGCCTGAAGTAATATTATCCAATCAGAGTATGCCAGGTCATTACAGAAACAAAAATGGACGTCAAGAAATGCTTGCTGTTGCAAAACCGGCATCAACAAAATCTAATGTACATTGTAGTATTATGTGTTCTATGAGAGAAATTTTTTATGAATTGTAAATTAAAAAGACGAGTTAAATTGTGTGATGTACAGTATGTTATTTCTATACCAATGAAGCTTATTATCTGACAATTTTCAAGCATTTTTATAAGCCATGTAATTACAATCATTTTTTATAACAGCAAAATAACTTAAAGGAATAGGAATGGATGGATTGATGTCTGTCTAATATAAATATTCATCATTAAAAAAGAGGAACCATGACAGTTTTCCTATTGACATCAACCCTATAAGAGAGAAATTCGTGTTTTAAGACACTATTTTTTACTTGAGAAATAAGTTCATGGGCGCCGCCATTTTGGCGTTCTGTCATTCTCGCGAGACAGACGAGACCGAGATTGTGACGTGCAATACCCACTTCCGGTATAGGTGTATATGCTGGTACAACTGAAATATATCTTGATGAAGAACTTATTAATTTTATTGCGTACATTATATATTATTTATGAAAACATCATATGGAACTGAATTGCTTTAATTAATTAATTGAAGACGCCGCGACATTAATTATTATTTCTCCGATATTCAAGCTTGCTGATGATCCCACCACATGATTTAAGCAATGACTGCTTAATTTTCAAAGATAAACCATAAATTTAATTTGGGTACTATGAGAAACTTCTTCAAATTGACGATATATCCTTTTATTTTGTACTTAATTTTCGCTAGACAAGCTGTCCAAATAGGGTACATCGTCGGTCGTGTATCTTTTTTTACCAACTAAATCCAATATATATCTACTTACCAAATTCCTCTCCCCGACAGATACGCATTTCTACTACCGTAAATTTAATCCAATAAAACAAAAAAAAAATCATAAATCTACTTAATATTTAAAATGATTATTGGTAACTGAAAAAAATGTGTTGCTATTTTATGACGTGCTGTAATTTACTACAGTATAATTTGACAGGTGTGGAACCTAATTCCCCCTAAGGTCATTCAGTCCACTGATGAAGCGTAAAAAATAGATGTCTATTTCGTCATTAGAATATTTAACAAGGGTGATTAACCAATCAGGGCAACATTGTGCATGATCAAAAGGTCTGTCGGCACAGAGGCATACAAGGAGCAATAAAAATCGTCAGTACACAGTGTGACAGGAGCATTTGGTGCAAATTAGGAACAATTAAAATGGACAATGCGCAGTTTTATACATAAGTAGTAAGAACCAGCAATTGTGTGAATAAATTATGCAAATAAGACTTTTGAGCAGCCAATAAAAATGATTTGCCTGCAGTTAATATTAGGCTTCGATAACGATGCGCAGCATCATACGTTGACAGACACGTGAATAATTTACATTTCAAAAGAGTTGCTTATATTTTTGAAATGTGTACATCAATTATAACATATGTTCACAACTTTGAATTTGAAAGTCAGAATCAAACTGCAAAAATTTTATTATAATTATGTACTATTAAGAACACGTTTTAGTAGGGTTTTTATAATGGAAGTGGCTAGCGTACGGGCCCGTACGGCTAGCCAAAAGTTTTAGCCGTACGTGAGTCACGTACGACTAGCAAGGACACGCTGTATTGGCTAGCCGCACGGCACTTTTCAAAATTTTATGGAAGTCGAAAATGCATATGTTATTTTATGAATTTAAGCGAGGATTTTAACCAAGAAACAGCATTAATTGTCTTTGGATGTTAACTTTTTAGAGATTAATCGCCTTGATCGCTATATATATATCGATCTTTGTCAACGCAAGATGTCGAGAAAAAAAATAGCCTTTGCTTGCATTTACACCAATTGAAATAGTTTACAAAATTGTGATAATAATCCTTTTTTGTTTCATTAAGTTTAATTTTCGACACCTTTTATATGAAAAAAAACAACAACAAACACTGAAAATGATTGTTGTTAGCCTCTTGATAATTGCGACAATTACCGACGGTACTGTATAGAAGTTTGTCCATCAAGGAAAGTTTGCATGTTCCGTGAAAGGCATTCTAAAATTCTATTGTCAGTCCCTGGATAGGTTTTAATTAAGGCTGATTAATTGATTGACTGTGCTTTTATGTTCGATATTTATCTACTGTTTTGAAAATTATATAATTATTTTTGCATTTCACCGTGTTTTTTTTTTTCATTAAATGTTCTTTTTATTTATTTATTCCACTCCGATCATTTTTTATTCGATCCATGTGCTTAAAATTAAAAAAATGATTTAATAATTCATACAAATAAAACAACAAATGATAAGCATGAAAATCAACAATTTTATAACGTTCGACTTCCATATAATTTTGAAAAGTGCCGTACGGCTAGACAAAACGTAGAGTGCGTCCTGGCTAGTCGTTCGTGACTCACGTACGGCTAGAACTTTTGGCTGGCCGTACGTTTCTTTATTTTTTATTTATTTATTATTTTTTGTTGTTGATATTATTACGTATTTTGAACCATAAAAAATCTCCTCTACACCTCCTGTGAAAATTAAATTGTCTGGTCATTAATATTTCCTTACGATTCAACTATATTTATCATGAATCTAAAGATGTGGGGAAATGACATCACGCGCACCTGTTTTTATACGGCCAATACACAAACATGGCCGCGCTTACTGATTTGTAGAAATCGGTGATTTAGCGATTTAAATTTTGTTATCATTCGTTTAATATTATTATTTGGCGGCAGAAAATTTGCAGACTTATTATTTATAGTATTCTTTTTCTGAAATCAAGTTTTTATTCTAACCTTGTCTTTCCCTTTAAATTAAGAGGGGAAAAAAAAGAAATACAACATGCATGTCAACACCAGTATTGGTTGTGGTTATTTACTCTCTACCTGTTTTAGTTCTATCAAACCTTCATAAGGATAAAAAATAACTTTTATGAATAATTCATCAAAATCAGGTCTGTTTAATTGTATATTTTTAAAGTGAATGACTTAAATGTTTTATCCATGTATATGCTAGGTCATATAATCTGTATCCTTTTATTATTGTTAAGAAACAATCAAAACAGTTCAAATTTCCTCAGAAGTTGAAACAGTTTAATTTTTACGAAAATATGTGACAAATGAAGTTTTATACAGAAACACTCAGAATTCTAGTTGTTGTCTATTTTAATTACATTAAATCAAATATTTCTTACATATTTTTTTAAAATATCTTATTATTGATTTTTATCTGCTATTTCAACAGGCAACATAAAAAAATGTTAAATTTATAACTTAGTTATTTACAGCAAAATTTACCTTGGTTGATTGAACTTTTTGAAGACAAAGTTTACTGAACATTACTTGACATGTCCATAATAATGCTGGTCATACAAATATACCTTTTAAGTTCTTTAACATTAAATTGCTAAACTAGTTTGTTGACAATGATTTTCCACGTGTGTAATTAGATAAAATGTGTATCGAGTGTGCAAAAGGCGTTGCATTCCTTGTGTTTATTTATAGTATAGAGGGGTATATTTGCCGTTATTTTTTAATTACTTGCTTATAGAATGTCAATTTCCTGTGGTTAGATCAATCTTAGTAAAGTGTATAATGTATTTCATAATTAAAACAGAGTTTTTAGTATTAAACATTTATTTTTAGTATATTTGAGCACTATTTGGGTATAAATGGGCAATATTTGGGTGTATTTGGGTATTTCGTGCTGCCCGGAGCGAGTCGACTTGGAGCGAATAGAAACAAAATCAATTGAAATTTTAACAAATTTAATCAAACAAAGTACATGACACATCAACTAATTATCTGCTTACGTCAAACCAAGTATATTTAGAAATATTAATCAAGGGCTGTTTTAAATATATGCTCTTTGCATTTGAAATAAATAACTAGAAATCATACTTTACAGTGCGGGACAATGGACGTCGCCATTTGTAACCGATGCTTGGATAATTTCCGTTCTGGAAAAAAGAACCCGTACTGTCTTTACGGTAGCATAGCAAGAGTTTGTATTCCGGGAACGTTTGAATGTATTTGATATAAAGAAAGCAACAGAAGCACAGCATTTATTATCCGAGCACGATCAACAGAACTTTCATCAGTTCTAAAATACATACACAGACCATTAAAGATTAACTCAGGTAAACACAGGTAAATTTGCAAGCAAACAGGACGTTTAATCTTTTAGTTATACAAACTATATTTTATGAAACATTTTCATCGTTTGACTCTATATTGCAGTAAGTAAGGCCGATTAAAAATATATTTTTTGCAACAACATAGACCACAGTTACATAAAGGTTATACATATATAAAAATAACAGTTAAACAAATTAAAATGTCACTTCATATTAGTAATAAAATAAATCAATCAAATTAAGGACTGATTTGAGATAAGACATTGGATACAATTATAAAAAATCACAGTTATTATGATTACAAGTCAGAGACTTAATATCTAGCACAAAATATTGTTTAAAATTACCGACATGATATATAAAGTCTATCTAGTATAACCTGGGACATAAGTTATCTTATGTCCCAGGTTTAACATAGAAAATGAAATCAGATAATGTGGTCGAAAGCTGATGGAAACTGTTGCTAAAATGCTTTCTTATAAAACATAACGTATTGCAAGACAACGAAACATACGTGACCTGAGACAACAAATAATGTGTATTTAATTAATTAATTTCCGTGCAGATGTGATACCGCAGATTAACTTTAAAATGTTGTATTTTTGTCTCTTAAAATTTGGTATATAATATTTCTATTTATGGGGGAAAAGAGGAAAAAATAAGATGCTTCGATTAAAAAAATCATAGAAAACATCAAATCACCACGTTATAAGTACATGTATATGTTGTTTTGTAATGATATAAATAATGACTGGAAAAAGAATTATGAAAAAAAATCTAGAAGCTCGTTAGTTTTGTGCCTCTAGGCTACCTTTAAGTGAACTATCGATTGAGCTATGGCGGCAATAGTTAACCAAATTTGCAGTTATGAATAAATCGTATACATGTATCCACTCTTGATGAACAATATTTCATATACATGTATAACTTTAAAATGGACTGTCTTTGACGAAATATGTATATGAAGAAATTTCTGTTTATCGAAACTTCGTTTATCAAGATATGATTTTAACATACATTGAATAAAAGACATCCCAGATCAAGTTATGTCCGTACTTACCCAAAGTTTCAAATATCTTCCCAAATCTTAAATGCATATTCAAAAATTATATAACTGTATAGCCGTCAGATACAAAACAAAAAAGAAATATTGACATATTAAGGTAATTATTCATGCGTAGGAATACGGAGTTTTGGGGTCCATGGATGATTTAAATACATTTTGTACTTCTTAGCAATCATTTATCCAGCCCGCATAGCTCAATCGGTTAGAGCGCGAGACTTGTAATCTCGACATTATGGGTTCGATTCCCGGGCTGGCCAACTAAAATTACTAATCAGTCTTTCGGATGAGACTTTAAATCGAGGTCCCGTGTATGGGTGCTTAAACACTTGGCACGCTAAAGAACCAGGAGAAGCTTCTGGAATTAGGGCATCTTTCTGTATCTGTAATTGCACTATCCTCCAAAAGTCTAAAATGACTAATACTCTTCTGGAGGACTCGTCCATAGGGGCAACCGGTGGCGAGTATAAATAAACGCAAATACACACACAAAAGCGATCATTTTCGTGCACCAGACCATTCTGTAGTGTACAAATATATTCTCTTCCTTGATATATTTGGAGATATTTAATCTTCTGAAAAAAAGATTCAGGGAATTTTACCATTTATATTCATATTTCGTAAATCTTTATTTCACAAATGTTTGAAGTACATGTAGTTTGAATTCAATGTCAATGTTAAGAAAGGCATAATTATGTACTTGTACAAAATTTTAGTTTCAACAGATGTTTGAAGTTAAATAACTGATAAATATTCACGTATAAATTTGTAACAGTGAGTAATGACAGTAATAAAATAAAATTCTCCAAAATACATAATAAACACAAACACAATAAATTAATCATATACATATTGAATTTGAATACATTCTTAATTGGTAAACACTTAAAAAAGATAAGGCGCACTTATTACCTGAACAAGATTGAATAAGTGGTTGATAAGGAGACTTATTGCATGCGTGTTGATGCATTAATTGATGATAGCGTCCATAATGATACTTACACACACTGGTACAAATGTAATAAATGAACGACATGGAGGCCCCGACGTGAAAATCTTGTTTAATTTCAAATCTTTAAATTACTCATTTTATATTCGCTAACATTTACATAACTTTTAATTATAATTTGATAAATTGTTTAGCTGTTTATAAACACTAAGATGTCAGTCAGTTCAACCCAGCTAATCATTCGATGAAATGGTTGTGTGGTGCATCTGTGGTCGAGTGGTTAAGGCCGTTGGCTTCTTACCACTTGACCCTCACCGCTGTGGGTTCATATCTCGACAAGCACTTTCGATTATTTCTTGTTAGAAAGCTAGCTAGCTTACGGAACATGGGTGGTTCTTCTAAGGTTCCCGTTTGTGCCTGCAATAATGGACGGAAGGGCGTCAGAGGTCTTTCTCCACCAGTGAAGCTGGAAATACGCCATATGACCTATGTACTGTGCCGGTGCGACGTAAAACACAACCTGTCTTTTTTCGAAATATAAGTACTTGACAACTTAAAAGGTAACTCGATGAGTTTCTTCAGTCTTGCTTATGTTCACCTGAAATATCGTCCATTACAGAAATACTTTTATGCTGTTTAAAATACCCATTCAAGGCCTCTTCTCCAGCAGGCGTAGTTCGCACCATCATACAATTGGTTGTTTATCATTTGAGCTTGTTAACAATTCTATTAAACTTTTCTTTCGTTCAGAAAGCTTTTGTATCAAAATGAGAAACGCAATTATTGGATTTATATTTCTATCTGCTTTATATGCAGTGGGTAAGTTACTTCGTTTAGTCTTTTATTTGTCAATCATTTTAAAACTTATATCGCGTATTTCCAGAAAAGTAATGTAAAATATATTTATTAAAACTTGTCATACCGCTCCGAAAATTGTAAATATAGAAAGTATTATTACTAAATCTAAAGAAATATGATATATGATATATAAGTTTATGTGATACCTTGATTACTGTATTTCTGTTAAGATGAGGAGCGTATGCTCAAGTTTGAAAATAATAAAATATTAATTCTTTTCTGTTCTATGATAGTAAATATTGAAGCTTTGTTTTATGTGGAAAATGAACATTTTGAGAGCGGACTATTTTCTGTTTTGTTAAAATACAGATGCGGCATATAAAGTGGAACAGTCACAAGAAAGTCACCGGGATATAAGACAGCCGGTGATCCAACCTCCCAAATCTATTCTAGATGAATTTGACATGCATCCAGCCAGCAAACTTGAATATTTGACACAGTACGTGGTACCTTTTATTTTCTGCACACTTACGAATTGAAATTTCAAATTCTTGATGATTATGTGAGGCATTAAATTTGTATTCTAATTTATATTTGAACAATATTTTTTTACTACATGTACTTAAACATCGTTATTATTTATGTAATTCTACAAGGACCTCGGATTTCTTCTGATGCCTTCTTATTCCTTTAAATTCATCCGGGTTTAGGAGAATCTGTCAGCCATTTTAATTACCGCATTATATTATTTCATAGCTAAATCTACAAATCTAACTCAAAATCTGATAGAAATAAAGTCAGTAAATTCCTCCCAATTTGTGTAACTAACTTTAGTATATATATTGCAGACGTGGACATGGCAATACGAACCAGAGGGGTACCAGTGAAGAGTTCGAGTGTCCTAAAGCTTGTACCATGGACATGAAGCCAGTGTGTGGTAGTGATGGGCAATCATATTCCAACAAATGCGAACTCATGGCGAACGCTTGCAGGTCAGCCAAAAATAGTTCATTGATTCAATGCTAAACTCTAATTTCCACCTATGTTACGAGGGGTTCCTACGCTACGAAGGGGAGGGGGATCAAGGGAAACATAGTATTCAAGTCTGCAAAATCCCTCTAAAGATCTAACTTGTGTATAAGACAGATTTTTATTGCTTGTTAATGTTAAAAAGTCCTGCATAAAGTATTATTGTATATGTTATTGTATTCATATGCTTTACATTATACATACATGTTCATGTAGATAATTTGTGTATTATGCCATTTTCTTTCATTTACTTTTAACGACTTTGTATATCGTCATGATTCATTATGAATTACGTTTATTTGACATCAATTTCTTTACTTGATCTATTCCTTGATTAAGTTATAAGTACTGGAATTTGCCTTTTTTTAGTTTAGAAGTTTACGCATCTGAAATGTTTATAAAAATTATCGTTGTCGATAAGAATTTGTTACTTTCTATCTAAAACATTTCATTAAAATTTGTCTTAACTCCGGCTCTAATATTAGACATAGCCATTGCAAGATATGATTTATACACCCCTCCTGTTGTTTAAGAATAAGTAATGCATTCAACTCCGAAATTATTTCGACGCATGCTTAATCCGCTATTTAAAGGTAATATTGCTAGGATGTGTCATCTAGTTGACCTTTTTTCAACTTGAGTGCCATGGTTCCAGTATTCCTACTTGAATACTGTTAATCACCGTCTTTTTGCGCCTTATATTATGCATTAAAATTTTTGATTTTAATTTTAACCAATCAATTTTAATTTCGTGTAAGGAAATTTGGAATCACCCAATGAAACAATATTTACTTGTTAATAAAAGTATTAACTGAAACCCTGTAAGTTCATGACAAATCAGCTTATGGTTACTGATAGTGTTAAAATTTCTTTTGTAACATTTACTATCGAAAGGTCTGAAATAGGATTAATTATCTTGTTAAAGCGATTACCGTAGATTGGTTAACTTAGATCTTCCTATCTGTATTTGTTCTTATGCCTTCTGTTATATCCTATTACCGACATTAAAGTGTACCTTAAGAAATAAAAGCAAAATAAAAATTAAAATAAAATTGAATGATAAAAAATAAAATCAAAAATTTTAATGCATAATACTTATCTGTGCTGTGAAGGCTTTGTGATCTCACATCCAATTGCAAATTCCATTTAGTTTAGTTTCGCCTATTGTTTTCTTGCTTAGGGCACACGCTTTCTTTTACTTGAGGACCATATGCCGCTTTAATGGAATGACACGAAAGTGTCACATTGAAGGTTAAATGATAAACGCCGTATGAACACATCTGCGGATGTTTCTAAATTTAAAAAAATCACCATTTTTATGTTTAAATTAAACCGGTGCTTGGGAGAGGGGCGCGCGGACAGTAACATGATTAGATTGACACTCACAGGATACTTAATTTGGTCCTACCAAATACATGTACATGTATATACATACTGGTCAGAATATATATAGGAAACCCTTCAATGTTCCATCTATTTAATTTAACTTTCTTAATTATAAATTCTTTTTTTCAATACAGAATGAGGAAGCGAATTTACGTGGAAAAAGAGGGACGGTGCTGAATAAAAGAAGAAGAACAACAGAATACTTGTAAAAATTTTGTTGAACTTTAAGCTATTCCGACTTTTCAACCATAATAATAATTTCAATATTTTCGTGTGTTTTATAGTCATGTAGTAATTAAAAATAGCTTTATCTGAAATTCTGCCTTAAATTGATATGATAAAGGTATAATGTTGTATCTATTACTTTTTAATAATACATTTAAGGCATTTCCATTTATGTATACAAGGCGTGAAAGTGCGTTCATGCATTCGAATTTACATCAGGTTATCAGGATTTTGCTTATTATGTTAAAAATTATATACATGAACGCAGTCGCACTAAAGTAAATAAACAATTCATTATCATTTCTTTCATCTTTTGTGAGGTATTCAAAGAATTTATATTGCTCTTAAATTGTATGCTATATATATCACTGTGAAAACGACATTGATAATGCACCAATGAACGATGCAAATAAAAGTAATTTCATTTTCCAGATGATTTTTCAATACTCTAGCTCATTAATGCAAGTTTTTAGCAGAATGCAATTTATCAAAAAGTAACTCAAGCGGTTAAGTCAGAAAACAGTACTCACCGTACTACACAGGGGACTAGCATCACCGAAAAGTGTTTCGGTTAAAAAAGAAAGATATGCGAGTTTCCGGTAATACATATGTGGGTTAAAGATCTATTTGTTTATTTGATGGGCGTAATCTCTAACTATAACTTCAATAAAAGATCCGCAGTTAGAAAGCATACAAATGTAATAAATATGACCCGACCTTTTTTCCAAGTAACTGAACTATCTTAAGCGCCAAAATACACCCGATTGTTCATTTAACAGCTGTATATTAGTTTATTATACTAGTATATTTAGAAGATTGTTCCTCGATCTCTACCGCATCAAATTACGCGAAACTGCAAGAGAAGCTCTTCTAGGTTCCAATTCCCGACACTACTATAGCTCAGAATAAGGCGGGGGCCCGTTTGATAATATTTTCCTTTCAAGTAGTAAAATGTACAAACAGACCAAAACTTTGGCAAATTGGGTACACGAATTCTCACTCTTCGGATCAAAGCTCGAGAAAATAGAAAGCCCCAAAATGCGTTGATATGCGTTGACAGATCAGCGCACTTTGGGTTCCCAAAATCTGATGGGTCAACTGAGTTCTGCTTAATTACTTAGTATTGACTTATTTTCGGTGTGCTACATTAATATATTTTAGGTGGAGTTCAAGATGACGGTCGATACTTAAATACATCAATCTTACTAAGTGTCGTTTAGTGGTAATATAAAAATGTGTTTGGTGCTTTTAAGTGGTGAATGCTTTATTAATTTTAACACTTGAAATACATGTATCTAAAAATTGTGACCATATAACAAACTACTTAAATTGTGATAAAAGATGCTTCAAAATATCCTGTTCTGTCAGCCATTTCATTGATAACTTTTGGTGCAATATTGAACCCTATTTCTGTTTAAATGACTTAATCAAGCTTTTTGCACAATTTTCGATATTCCTAAATACTTGGAATGCATGACATCGCTAAAGAAAACGTAGATCTATAAAATGACGAAAAATCTTTAAAAAAAATAGAAAAAACATTTTATATCTTCCTAATGTTCATGACCATGATCACTGTCAGTTAATGCCTTACAATAAATTTTGGTTTTCATTTCGTAAACACTCATTTTTTGTCGTTTGTCAGGTGCCAATCATGTCATTTTACGAAAGTAACTGTTACTATTAAGCCAATTTATACTTTCTTAAATATACTTTAATATGTCCGCAACGACCTATTTTTTAAATTGTGGACATTTTGGACGCCGGCCTGAGACAAAAAATAAATTTATATGATTATAATTTAGTACAACACGGGACAGTTTATATTCTGAATCAATGAAAACTTACATTATTTTGGATACTCTCAGGTTTTGCAAAACGTATCTGTTTTATGTACAACTAAAACCGCTGCTATTGTGAAATGAGACGAGATGACTTTCGTATTTTCCGAAAATTACTCAATACGTGTTTTTGAAAATAATTCCTGGAATTTCATCTAAATATACACTTATGATCCTGTTGAGTATGATGAATTCTTATAATATGGCATCCATCTTGTAGTTCATTTTTCCCAGTAGTGACAGATTGATACAACCTGAATTCTTTTCAATCTACAACATTTAACATAGAAAGAATTATAACTAATTAATTCAGAAATGGTAACTCACTTTAATTAAATTAGAAATAGGATAAATCCATATTTTAATGGTTCGTCACCAGATCCTTTTCGAATAAAGAACTGGATTTTAATTAGATATTGAAATATGTGAAATATGTGTGACATGCAATCTCTACAGTTATCGGCACACAACGCTAGTTCGTGAATATGTTATCTAATGTATTATATTACACAGAATACACATCATACATACTTATATGTCTTTCTTTAAAGCCACTATCCAATGAAACAAATAATTGGATATAAAACATTATAATAAATTGCAACCATAAGATGAAACAAATTAAAATAGTCTATCGTCTCTATTGTGAGCTAATCAGATATGTTATATTCCTTAAAGATCGTTCAGAACGACCATTTGTTGTCTTTGTCTAACCATGTGGCATTTTCAAGTAGGGTGGTTCAATTGTTCCTGCTTGAAAATATGATTATGAATGTGTTGCATAATATTTAAATTTTCTTATGACGTCAGATTTGTGATATGCAGGCTTCATAACCTCTGATCCCTTTTCAAAATTTCATTTTGTTTAGTTCCGCCCATTGTTCTTAATTATAGTTCTAGAGCACACGCTTTCTATGATTTGGATGTTTCTTAATTCAAAATTTTAAACCTTTTCATGTTTAAATGTTGAACTCTGCTTAAGCCGGTGCTAGGGGTTTGGACACAAGTTTGCAATTGAGAGATCGTCCATGTATATGCTCAATCAAACCCAGCCTGCAACATTTTCAATTTTGCCGTTTTGAACTTTCTTTAGGGATTTTTAGTTTTCAAATGGCATTATTTTTAAAGATCACTAAAATTTATTCTTATAGATTTAATGTTTATGACCCCAAAGTGCGGTCGTTTGTCTGATATTAAAAATGTATATGAACCTGTCTAACGCACTTTGGGGTCAAATTTGACACCAAAGTACGTAACGCACTTTGGGATGGAAAAAAGTGCGTTTGACCCCAAAGTGCGGTGTTACACAGCTCAAAGCTTTCAATGTGGACAGGTTGGATATCATCTATTAAAATGCTGATTTAACTACCAAAATTAGAATTTGACGTAGCAGTTTGCAATAGAATTGCATGTGGTACTTATAACTCGGCCAATGACGAGGTTTTTTTTTATTCATGTTTACACAATTAAAGAGACTGGCGGATTCTTTGGTGTTTACAGTCTATTTCCTCATCACCAAGTTCAGTGTTTTACACATCTTAAACATAATACCATAAGAATATACCGTGAACATACAGAAAGGTAGAACAATATTTCGTTTTTATTGTTTAAAAATACTAGAAGTTCATAATTAGCAAAAATATCGTAATAGAAATCTCGTAACCCAGAAACTTACCGAAACACAATTTGGTGATCCATATAAGGTTGTTTTCCTGTGCATACACTTATCCTAAAATTGATTTACTTGTTATAATAGATGATATTTTGCATGAAATTCAAGCAGATAACAAATTGCAACAATTGTTTCTAAATCTGAAGAAAACATTTTGTGTGTAAAATGTAAGCAGTTAAATATAATTTATTCAGTTATCGTAACTATACATGTATAGTATTTTAAAAACTGACAAGTCAGTATTTTCAACGTTCATTCCCTGCTTATATATACTGAAATGGGCTCAAGAAAATTTGCTTCCGGGGATGACGAGTCAACGCTTTCATGTTCACTTTCACTGGAGGTATCCGAAAATATATCATCCGAAACAAGATCTAGTTTCCGTCGTCTGCGCCTTTTCCTGACGGTTTCATATTCAAATAAATCATTTTTATTCCCAAGAGTGCTGTATAAACTGGACTCACGATACTGATAGTCAAAATCAAGATCCTCCGTGTCTATAGACGAACCTGAAGAAATTTCTTCATCACTTTCATCGGTGGTATAGAACAATCCTTTCCATTTCTTCGAAGAGTCCGAACAGTTGCGTTTAGAGAGATTTCGACCAACTTTCTTATCTGAAAGCTGTAATCCCTTCACAGGTCTACAACTTTCTGCTGTTCTATCACGAGCCGTCTGTCGTGTAATTGTTTTGGCAGCCTCACAGTCAACATTAGTGTTATTGTTTTTGTTATTATTATTTCTCCCCAAATATATAGATTCTGATCGACCTTTGTTGCGCCTTTTACGTAAATGTGTCCAAATCTCAACAGCACTAGTACAGTTCAGATTAAGGTTACTTTGAATACCTTCAAGATCCTCTTTACTTCCGAAGTTTAAGAATTGGGCGCGCATATTTTCCCGCCTTTCTGCTCTTTCACGTTCGGCTTTTTCTATTTTCTTCTGTCTTACCAGTTTCTGAGTTTTATTCTTTAGATCCTGATACTCATCTTTACTTGAATCTCTGAAACAAGCGATCCGATAAAGTTATATTTATAAATGACAAAAGAACTTTGCGTTACCGTTTCACTTCAATGACAATAATTGCTAATGAAAAACTTCTATTGTAAGTACAAGTATCTATAGAGTTTAGCTTAGCGGATACAGTTCGTTTTGAACCGACATTGAATTATTAAGGCACTAATACAAATTTCGACTAAATTTGAAACTGTAAAGAAATATTATAGAAATTAAAGTACATTTATTAAGAAATTAAATATAATGGAATGAATGCATCACGACATCGTTAATATCATGTGTAATGAAAAGATTACTCTTCTTCGCTTCCATCGGATCCTTTCATCTCCACTGCATTTTCACACACGGCACAAATGTTTTCCAGGTCTGCGTAGCATGCGATACAGTATACCGCTGGGGAAAATACAGAAACAATTTTACAAATAAAAGTACCATGAATGTTAGAATGTTATGGGAAGCGAATAGTTATTGCGTGGAATCGCACCATTTAAACGTACAATAAATCAATAAAAAGATAGAATTTTTATAAAGTTGTGTTTTGATCTTTGCACACAATTTAAATAGACTGGCAAAATAAATACCAAATAGATTACTGTTAATTATATGTTACTGAAGTTCAGATAAAGTATTTTTTTAAACCCCAAAGAAATATTTCATCTTACCATCACAGTCAAAGAAAGAACAATGGACGAAGTTCACGTAATCTGCAGGTTTTCCTTCTTTTCCACAGTAGAGACAAGATTTAACCTCCCATCCAAAACATTTTAATATCTTCTCAACGATGGGAAAACTGTAGTTAAGATAAGATTCTGATTAAGTTGCATGGAATATCCATATACGTGAATTTACAATACTGCACGTTTGTAACGCCTCTATTCATTTGATAATTGTGTCGTTTATATACCGACTGGTGTCAATTTATGAAGAAATCTCACCTTTTTTCTTAAAAAAAAAACAAACAACAAAGATGCTTGCTATATCATAAATTCGTAATAAATATTTCGGACAAGTCAAAACTCTTTATAACTAATAACATATACGTATTGTAACACCATACGTAATCTGTCTACAGAAACTGAAACCATTATAATAATAGAGAATTATGGATAACGTGTTTCGAAAATACAAAAAAAGCTTAAGACTTACTTATTAAAGGTTATTAGTTACAAACGGACATTAAACTTTAATCTATCAAATTTCGATTATATAAGTAACAATTAAAGTGATAAAATATTACGTTCGTGACTTACCTTGCTGCAAGACGTCCTTTCAAACTGATATGTTTAGCATATACTCCACCTTTTTTGTTTTTCTTCATATTGTCTCTGGCATTTGCTAGTATTCCTCCGCGCGTTTTCAGAATGTGATTAAATAACCAAATTGCACGTTTACGTTCTCGCTGTGGAAAGTAGCACCCCATTATCAGATGACGTAGTCTTAGTCCATAGGCCTCAGTTATTGTTAGAATAAGACATGCGAAGTATATAAAAGCTGAAAAATATAGAAATGAATTTGAAATCATTTTTCGATTTATGGACTATCACCAAACATCAATGTCAGCAAGGTGTGAATGGTCAAATAACATGATAGGCATTGGATCCATTAGAACGAAATCATGAAATATCAAACAGATTTTATCAGTTGTATCATTTACTTTGTGAAAGGCATTTACCCTACCCTTATCTTTTATAAAAAAACTTACCGTAAGTTTAATGAAACTATTCTTTTCGCTAAAAAGATTGAAAACTTGAAAATGACTATAAGAGTCTCTATAAATTACACGTATAAATTACACGTAGTTGGTATAGGGAGTTAACTCTCATTCTTCTTTCAAACACGCAGATTTTTTTTTTGCAATTCATAAACATTTACCAATCAGTCTATACAAATCCCAATCCGGTTCTGAGGGGTGTGGAACGCATGGTGTGACATCCGTCTTGGATTTTGAGGTGTCGGATATGGGATCGAACATTCCGACCACCGAACGGTACATGTCAGCCATCGGTCCGGTCCCTGCTACATGCAACTTCGTATGCGCTGGCACTAAAATAGGAAGACATATGGTCAAACAAATTTTAATATTTTATGATCATCATATGAAGATAAATTGGTGGTTCAAAGTTTACAAACTAAGTACTAGAATTTCTGAAATATGATATCATGAAAACTTTTAAAACGAGAATTTTAAGCAAAGTTTCCTTTGAAGAATTAATTGCCTTTTCTATCTATAAGAGTGTCTGTTTTACATAGCACACAGGAATTGAAAATAATCCAACAAACATTTTACCGAAAGAAACAAGTCACTTTCATTCAGTTCCCTTTCTGTTATTGTTTTGACCAAATAAATGTATGCACATATTTTGTTTATCTGCATGGTCAGTTGCATATGACAACATATATCCTTTCTAGTTTATATTTGACATTCATATATAATATATGAAATATTATAATTATAATATAATATGAGGTAAAAATAAATGGTTCGGTGAATATACTTGTTTTCTTCTGCCAGCTGTAAAACGACTTATCATTTTGATAACCAAACCATCTTATTAGAGATGCATAATAATAATAATAATAATAATAATAAATCTTTATTTAAAGAAGGTAACACATGAAGATATACATTATGATTTGTACCATCGTAAAAACAATTAACATATCTTAATTTTAAATGTGACCTTCTAAACATTTATAGATACAAATATCTAATACATGTATAAGCAAAAAGTCATACTTGGTGGACGAGAGACAACACTAAAATGTGTTTCTACGAGGTGTAACGCTGAGTACAGTCCAAAGTCACAGAGCAGATAGAATGCTGTGTTTAAGAAACTAAACATATACATCACTATCCCAAAAGCCAGCTTCTTTTTCTCCTTTAGAACCATGGCCCCGGAAACTGATTTAAAGAAACATATTGTCAAGAACCAACATAGTTGTTTTAAGAGATTGAAAACGACTAACTAGGTACTTAATTTTTAAAAATCATCCTTATTTTAAAAGGCCTAAGAAAGGTGATAAGAACAGAATTGCATGCGCTTAAAAATTAAAAGAAAATTGTTGAATAGAAAGTGTTTTCCTGTGTTTGGAAAAAAATTACCACTCTCAACATATTTGTTCCTCTCATCGAAATTAAGAGGCATTATTCCTGGTTTACTTTTCTGGTATCTTCTCTCGTCTAAGTCTCGAACCGTAAACGTGATGTAGATGTTGTCATAACGATCGTTAGACAGCCATTTGCTGCGGTAAATCAAAGCCCTGTAAAAAAAAGTGTTAGAAGTGAATTTCAAATTTTCAATAATTTTCTTGTTGTTTTAAAATAAAGATTTATAGGTAGGTTACCTATACGTTAAGTGATAAGCATGTGTCATTGATCTGGATAGCAAATAATTGTGAAAAATACGAAAATAGACAGCAGAATGTATTGAATTATTAAATATTAATTTCTAATAGTATATCAACTAATTTCACGTTTGTTGTAAAGGGGATTGAAGGACAAAAAGGGCAGAAGAAAGACACATGCCAGTTTTGACAAGACATTTTGAGAAGAATGATTAAATACACAAGTGAGTGCAACACTTATAAATCAAAGCACAGAAGGCGCTGAATTTGTTTGGGTCTCAGAATGTAAGAAAGGTACATGTTGTGAGATTATATGTATAGTGCCACCAATGCTTTCCAGCGTTTTAATTGTAGTAAATTGGCTATAAGACTAATTGCAACACTGATATTCAATCCAATGTTTATTTGACTTAAACAATTTGAAAAAAAATGAGTTGCCTTTACTGGGATTTGAACTCCAGACCTCTCGCTTCCTAAGCGAGCGCGAAAACCCTTCAGCCACGGTGAACGGCCTGAAGAAAACCATATTATTCTAAATTAGGGCTTGTAACGACTTTAACTGTTGTTTAACACAGATGTAAATAATCCTGGAGCTTACTATAAGCATGTATATTTAAAAGAATCAAAGGGCTGCAAGTTCTGTGGTATTTTCTGATCTTTGCAATCTAAATCGTAAGTTGTATATCTGTATGTATTTCCCTGTATAAGTTTATTTTTATGTATTATAATTCATTTTGCAAGGCACCAGAGTTTGATACATACGGAATTCTGCATAACTAGAGTTGCATCAAAATATCATTTATGTTCATTTTTTACGACAGCTACACTTTATCCTTGCATATCATGGCTACTTCCTTAACAAAGACACTTAAAAAAGATTTAAAAAAAAAGTTTCCTCGACTGGGATTTGAACTCCAGACCTCTCACTCACTAAGCGAGCGCGTTACCCCTGCACCACGGAGAAGTTATACAAACAATGTCTGAATAACATCAAGTCATTCTAAATTTAGAACTTCCATTGCATTTCGGGTTTGTAATCCTTTTTAATTTCGAGGTATTTTGTTCAGGATAAACCTATTGTTTAAAATTGAAGTAGATAATTTAGCGAAAATCTTCTCGCCCAAACAGTCCGACATGTAGAATCTATATATTCCACTACTCGGTTGTGTAGTATATATTCGGTAATCGACATCGCTAAAAATAGTATTTTCATTGATAAAATCATATTCATCCGCGTAATTTGTGATTGTGCATTTATTGACAATTCTATAAGCCAACGCTATTTTTAAACTTTGAATGCGTTGTAATTTGTTGGATACTTGTAACAAAATAAAAATATTTCTTTCTTTTAAATCGCTAGTTTTAAGCTGTTTTGAGAACTATTTGTTTTTAGGTTTGTCGTAAACTTCTGTGTCAGAGATTGAATGTCCGCTTTGTATTTACTTATTTACGATCAGAAAATACAATAAAACAATATAAGAAATCTTCGACCATTCGGGAATTATTTTGCTTGAAAATTAATGTGCCTGTCTTTGACCATCTTTACGCAGTGATCTCCCCTGAATTTTTCGGCGTTAGTGTACATATAAAGGGAAGAAACCGCTTCAAAAAAGTGGACTACTTTCGGCATTTGCAATTAACAGCATTAGACTCTGAAATTTCGCTACCATTATTTGTTTGGTCTGACGACCCAAACAAATAAAAATAATCATGAATTCCAACTCTTAATTCATGCACATTGGAAATTACACAACGAACATATTTTCAATAAGGTATTTAGACGATTATTGTAGTGTTTGTTGTACAAATGTAACTTTGGCGAAATAAAAGAATATTGCACGATAGTGTATTGAATATATAGGGCGTCTCTAATAATAAATTTTTTTTCATTGGCACAACATATCTTATTAAAGAATCAAGTAATAGTTTACACTAACAGATCTTATTAAAGAATGAAGTAATAGTTTACACTAACAGATCTTATTAAAGAATCAAATAATAGTTTGCACTATAAGATCTTATTAAAGAATCAAATACTAGTTTGCACTATCAGATCATATTAAAGAATCAAATAATAGTTTACACTAGCAGATCTTATTTAAGAATCAAATAATAGTTTACACTAGCAGATCTTATTGAAAAATCAAATAATAGTTTACACTAGCAGATCTTATTAAAGAATAAAATAATAGTTTACACTAGCAGATCTTATTGAAAAATCAAATAATTGTTTACACTAGCAGATCATATTAAAGAATAAAATAATAGTTTACACTAGCAGATCTTATTGAAAAATCAAATAATAGTTTGCACTAGCAGATCTTATAAATCAAATAATAGTTTACACTAGCAGATCATATTAAAGAATCAAATAATAGTTTACACTAGCAGATCATATTAAAGAATCAAATAACAGTTTACACTAGCAGATCTTATTAAAGAATCAAATAATAGTTTGCACTTACTTTATAAGAATAAAGGTAGCAGTGATGACCATTGCATTTCGAAAGACACGTACTATAAGGATGATATTGTCTAAGTAAGACATTATGTCTTTGCTTATGTCCTCTTTGATTTGAGAATATTTCTTGGACTGAGTCATAGTGTAGTTAAAACTATATTTGATTGATACGTTGAAGTAAAACATTTCCTTTGCTGAACTAAGAATTTTCTGAGTAGCTGAAGAATTAAATGAAGACAAGCAAATTGTGCATGTTAGTGATGACAGAGAATGTTAGGAAATAGAACTTATCGTTTGCTTTCATAATAATCATATGGGAACTATTGCCCTGTTCAATTAAATATAGATTTCAAAACAAAACCAAATAATTTTATTTACTGAGAATGTAGTTAACTAAAGGTATTGCTACGAGTTATTGTTTCCCGTCCAAATCTTTGTGGCATGTTTATCTAATGCACATATCATTAAGATGTTCGTTTAGCTTGTCTGGTTTGGTTTAACGACGCACTAACACAATTTAGGTCATATAACGCCGAAACAGGAAATATGATTTTGGCTAACCTCGTTTGTTACAATTTGTCAGCAACAATAAGGATAAAAAACCACCTCATCTGCTGGAACTATGAAATGCATAGTCTTCAGTAATTTGAACACATTTAGTCGCCTCTACTATCACATAAGGAAAACGGCGACTACAATTCTGAATCTCAACCCCTAAAGGCAACCACTCAGCCTCAAGGTAGGCAGAGGCTCGTGGTATTTGTTTAATAGTGTTGTTTCTAATTCTCAAAGTCCGTCATTAGTATTTATCGACAACATATAGCAAGAAACTCAAAATTCTGTTTGAATTCTTGCTAATGTGTGATGAATATAAAACATTCTTAAAACTTAAAAAATAAACAAAAAATAAATAAAAAGAATGATGGGATAAAAAACTTACGTAGATCCACAGCATTTTCTATCAAGTCTTTGATGAACTTGACCACATGACAAAGAAGCTCCCCAACTGTTTATAATGAAAGTACATGTCAATGACAACAAAACAGACATTCATGTTAAGGGACATGTTGAGTTTAAGCAAATTGCAAAGAGAAGCAATTACTGATATATTTAAAACAAATTCTTCCTATATATTACCATTAATACAAATAAGTAAGTCTTAAACTGGCTGGGCTGATTGTTTTAGCACGCAGAGTTAAACAGTAACATGTTAGTCTAGGTGCGTACAACCCCTTTATAATACAGTTCCCTGGATGTTAATATACACTGCTATGTTAACTGTCTTAACTATATTATAGACAAACAGATTTAGTTTAAGTCGGTATAGTAGTATCCTGTGTTTTAGAAAATTAGTTACATATTGGGCATATTGGACATATTGGACAATAAACTATAATTCAACACACCTCTCACAATATTGCACAAAATACCGAAACCATCTGCTATATCACACACACCCCCCAAAAAGCTTAATTTGGATCTGAAAATGAATTATTACTGTTATGAGAAAAGAAATAATCTTTTATAAGAGATTGTTTTCTAAAATTTAGTTCGATTTATTTAATATAACACTACTTGAACTCGCTTTCATTTCAATGCAGTCGGCTGGTTATTTACTTTTGTGTAGCACGAATGTAATAATTATATGATACTATACGTTTGTAATATCGCTTTTCATTGGATACTCATGAACTTTATAACGCAGGTGACCAGGCAGGTACGTTAAAATTTTGCTTAGTATCCTATATTGTTAGGGGGCAGGGGACATATTCGAATGATGGCCCCGGTCAAATTTTTTAATAACTCAGACATGGTGTTTTGAAGGTACTGATAACTTCTGATATTTCTCTGTCATTGTAATTCTTTCTTGTTTGTGTGTAGGAAATGAGATATATTTTTGGGTTTTTACCCGAAACTAAGCATTTTGGTAGCTTTGTATGTATTTCTGACTCTCCGAATGGAGGTGAAAAAGTTAAAAATCAAGCTTTGACAGTTGGCGCCAAACAAGTAAGAAATTTCAGATAAATTTTGTGAAAAATCTAAACGTATGACAGACACTTTATTTGTCATTTCTGAAAATGCCATAGCTTGCACTGCATGTTACTGATATTTTTAAAGGAATCGGGCGGATTCTGGAGTATGCTGCACCTTCATGAAGATTGCCCATATTGGTATATTTTAGGTGTGATTTTGGCTGGGTGGGGGTAAACATAAATTGCTGTCAGTCATTTTTTGAAGGAGCAATGCATGCAAACTATTATTTTCTTCAATGTATGTCATATATCATTGAATAATGCTGTGCAACTGGTTATCTGCCTGTGAGACAGATTTTGAAATATTTGGAATTGTGTTTCTGGTCACACTGAAATACAAAATTTTTCATTTTTAGGTCCCCTGCCCCCTTATTCTTCAAAAAAAAAATCTTGTCAACTTACATAGCCGTTACGGTACATGAACGTTTATTTGTAACTTAACCAGACTACCAGGTTTGCAAACAACCGTTTATACACGGTCATATAACATGTCAAAATCATTATTAATGATAGTACAATGTATACAACTTCCTTGTGCTAGACAAGAAAGTCGAACGTTTCCTATTAACGCTAAGATTCAACTTTCTGTTCACTCAAGCTAAAACTTATTCAGTAGTTTTGTAAATTAATGTGCAATAAACATACACGTTGTTCAGCAAATAACAACAACCTTTGTGGTCATAAAATAACACATCTGGACACAAAACTAAAAAAGTATAACGATAACGCATTTTAGAATCTGAAACATATTATCTTGTCAAGAATGAAATAGCACTTAATATCAAGGCGTCACGTGACTTAAGACCGTTATGTCTAATGTTATCGCCAGGGCCAAAACACCATTTTTGGGGAAGGGGCCTCAGCCTTTTTCTTGGGGAAAATATGCGTGATTTTGGCATACTTTTGGAAAAGGGGTTGCAAATTTAACACAACTTTGAACAAGTTCTTTAAAATAGAAAAGCAAAAAGCACTACAAAGAAGTGTTTTTTGGCCCTGATCGCATTTCCAATGATGATTCTTTATTGGACAATTTAAGTTGAAACTTTTCAAAAAAAAAAAATGGATGAAAACCAGAAGTATTTATTTACTTGCAATCATTGACGGCGTCCTCAAAAACCTTTTTGCACTTTTTGTACGGGGCTCCCATCTTATCATTGCATCTATCTACAATTGACGCCAACCATCGACCAACTCGTTTAATCGTGGACCCTATTTGAAAATACATGTATTACATAATTCATATTGCTGTTATAAAAAACATGCCTGCTAAAATATGTTTAAAAATAAGCATTCAAATATACAAATGAACATTATATTAGTATTTCATTTTAAAGATTTTTTACGATTTTATCAAAAAGCGCCTGCCTACTATTATAGTACTAGCAACAAAATAATTCAACATGAAATTATTTTCTAAAGGACTTTTTATTAAAGGTACACTTAAGAATATGAGCGCAAAGATTGACAAAAAAAGAGTGACCATCACTGACCGCACGCCCACATCGCGAGAAAACATCCAGTCATTTAGGCACCAAGTAAGGCACGAAAAAAAGAAAGAAAGAAAAAACACAGACAACACTTTTGATTGCGTTAATTTTTACAACATTAACTAAGAGTTCTGGTATATAGTTAAATAATGTTTCTGTTTTTATTAAACCAAGGCATATAATATGCAACTGGTTAAAGTGATTATAAAGGAACTTTAGCATTCAGCAAAGAAGATATAACAAAAACGTTTATGGTATACAGAGATAATAATTATCGATGCCCCACCGACAAAAAAGTAGCTCTTCGATGGAATTATTAACAGTGTGTTACATTAAGCCATTTGGATAATTGTTTCATCGACTCTTACCTATTTCCATCACAGTCTGTCTGAGCGTTGAATATGTTTTTTTCATCATATTAGAAAAATCTACCAATTTGGATAAAACATCTTTTATGCTGTCCATTATACCTGAATACAGAACAATAAGGAAAACACTTCATTTTTCCCATTATCAAATTCACATATTATACAGTATATCCATAAACATATATAAAACTTGTCCATGACCATAAACTAAACTTACAGTTTCTATATAATTTACATTCACCTTTACTCAAAATATGAGCTGCAAAATTTAGCTCCGTAGAATAAATCTATTAAAATGCTCTAGGCGTCCAAAATTCTAAAAGCCGCTCATTCAAAGTTATATTATGGGTAGGCTGAAGACCTCAAGCTAAAAACTATTTAAGTCTGAATTGAATCATTTACAAGTAAGAAAGTAAGTCTTATAATCATTTTTTCTTTTTCTTTCTTCTAAAACAGGAACCAGTTTAAGGGCGCCCCTCCCATCCCGCCCCTCGAACCGCCCCTTCCCCCACTCCAGGAAAATTCTTTAAAATCATGTAGTTATCTCCTAAAAGTAAATTATACAGGTTTTTTCTCTTAATTACCCTCTGACTTTGGGAAAAAATATCTCTAAAATTGCTGATTTGGGAAACTGAAAAGCTTGTATAGTAGTTTTTTGGAAAACTGCATGATTTTAAAGACTTTTTATTGGTCTCTGTTTAATAAGGTGAAAACCCCCTGTTCTATGAAGTATGCTCTGCCAATTTTGTAAATAAATACCGTGTAATTTCCCCCCAAATGTAAGAGTAGACAGGTGAAAAGCTTTGAATGTATATGTGTAATCACCCTTAGGAAATTGACAACAATTTTCCAGAATTATTCATATAAGTTTATGAATTAAAGGCTAATTGTTCACTTTAGAAAAAGCTTTGTATCATTAAATTACTAGTTTCATAACTTCATGTTAAAACAAGTCCGGCAAAACACCAGTGAAAATACGCAAAATATCTTTCAGTGCAGTGAAAAAAAAAATTAGTGAAAATACGGAAAAATGAAAGTATGCATTTTATTTCATCAATATGTTTCAATATTTCATTTATAAGTACATAATAAATGAGCCGCGTCACGACAAAACCAACATAATGGGTTTGCGGTCAGCATGGATCCAGACCAGCCTGCGCATCCGCGCAATCTGATCAGGATCTGTGCTGTTCGCTTACAAACCCTATTACAAGTAGAGAAACTGATATAGCGGACAGCATGGATCCTGATCAGACTGCGCGGATGCGCAGGCTGGTCTGGATCCATGCTTTTCGCAAACCCATTATGTTGGTTTTGTCGTGACGCGGCTCAAATGTTGATTACTTTGCATCGGAGCAACAGCTGATTTGACTAAAGCTTTTGTTTCATTTAGGGCTTTCTCTTGTCCACACGTGGCGCTCTGTGCCATCACTCCAATATTGACCTTGACGTTGTTTAATGGGTGACTCATAGCCAAAATCATAGCATATGTCAACAGTAGCATTCTTCCTTTACCTGGAAATAACAGTTCTACTTCTTAGTTCCTATATCTTACACCATTGACAATTCACTGTCAAATTTTAATTATTAGTAATAATAAAACGACAATACAGTATAAAAGTATTCAATCTGATTGAAACAGCTCCTTGATAGTGCTATTTCTTGTATACAAAATATGGGGGCCGTTTTATCAACGTGTTGCAGTCTACGACATTTTTATGGTATATTACTGATTTGAAGATCTGAACGTCAGAATTATTGGTGATATCTTCACATGACCTCAATACGGTGGCATAAAAGTGACATTTGCAAATTTTTGTTTGTTTTTGTTTTTGATACTTATTTTTTGTTTTTCGTACATATACATTTGTATATATTTTTTTAGTTTTGCATACATATTTTATTTGAGTTTTGCATAAACAAAAGCAAAAAAATGTACGAAAAAAAAATGCAAATGTCACTTTTATGTAAATGTCACTTTTATGCGACCGTATATCAACAATGATATATGATAAAGATATATATTTCATAAAATATAAACAAGATATCACGAGATATTGACCCTTAAACGCCACCATACATATCTTTGCATTTTTTACATTCTAAGAAAACCATATGATACCTACATAAGAGAAACACTTGATGTATATATATAGGTCAAAAATCAAAGATGGGTGTGGGTGTGGGGATCGGGGTGTGAATGTCATTTGATAGATTATAAAATAATGCTTACTAGAGAAGAACTGGGGTAACATCAGAAGTACGAGACATCGGATATTCGACGAGAAAGCCATTGTAAGTGTGATAGCAAGTCCTCCTATTGCACACAGAGGGAATGCAGCAACTGGTGGCATTTCCATCTGGTAAACCATCATCAGATACGATATCATTGTTAATATAATACCTCCGAGAAAACCTGTAAAATACAACGAGCAAAACATATTACTGTACATACCAAACGTGAGGTAAATAAAAAATCTTATAATAGTCGTACATGTATCGGGGAAGTCCGTATCTTATAAGGAGTATACCATCATGGTGTGGTATATTTTCTATAAAAAAAAATTGTTCAACCATCACTGTTAAAATTGAACCAGCTCGTCCATGTTTTCTGTCTTTTAATTAAAGTGTACATGTTAAAACTCTTATAGAAAATAACCTTTCTTTAAGTCAATCATTGTGTAGAGCCGCTATAAAACTGCAAAATATATACAGTTATGACTGAACCTGAGCATTCATCAAAACAAAATAACACACGAAAAAAAAGGCTTGAGAAAAGAAAAAAGTACGAAAAGTTTAACTTAAATTTAGTGCGACATTTTGTCTTTGATTAAGGCACATTAATTTTTTCGAGATTAAAATTTACAAATGTTACCTAGAAATTCCCTGAATGTCGGACTTGTCCAGCATGATGGACGTTTCTTACGTCTGTTGACATCATATATACAACACGGAAACATCGTTTGACATATTTTATCTCTGAAAAACGTCATGATGTTTGTAGTGCACTCGTCCCACCTGAAATTGTACTATGTTGTAATAACACTACCTCGATGAGCGGTCAGGAAATGCATAAGCTGATATTCTAAATTGGTTGTTTTCCCATTTAAAAACAAATCCTCCTTTAAAGGGTCATTATTCCACAAAAATGTTTTTAGTTTAAATTTTAACGTCATTTTACTTTGAGTTATCTGCCCCTGAATTGGACTTTGCTTATTTCAAAAACATTTTCAGTCTCAAAATGGTCACAAATGGAAGAAAAAAATCTAGAAAAAGAGCACGGGATTCCTCAGAAGCAATGAAAATCAATATTTTATGAAAATGCAGTTATATAGAGTCTGTTCATGAGAGATAATGTAGGGAACGTGCTACGGTATGGCGTTTTTCGATTATTTGTTGGCAAGACAGGTAGGTGATTTTTATTCCGGTCCATACTACAAGTAGCTTAGTTTCTAAAATATGTTTTTGTGCTTTGCTTATAAGGAACAGAATCCGGTATCTAGTCATACATTTCTTCAGACTCCGCACCGCAAACTTATCGTTATATTGTCTCAAAAATATGCAGATTTGACAGTTTGAAAATTTGAATCGAGATACCAACGCCTTTTTTGTAATTACGACATAATTTATTCATGCATAGAAAAAGTAAATCTGCAAAACGTTAGTCCTTTATGTTAGGAAACGTTTATAAAAGTAAATGACCAGTTGAACCTATTTTCCTGTTCGTTAAATGCGTTTGAAAAAATAAACCATGTAATAGTATAGAGCGAGGTGATTTGTGCAGGGTTACAGCATAGACCTAGCGTTTTTTATCCGATTGTGTTACAGGTTATACTCAGATTTCGGTTAAAGTTTAAAATATAATGGACTCATGTGTGTTCAATCTCATCCGCTCAGTAACTACTTGACTAAATGTGATGAAATTTACATGACTTTCTACCAATTAGTTGTTCAAATAGTTTCGGTTGCAATCGGGGATATGAAAACCCAAAACATAGATTTTAAAAAAGGCAATGTTTAAAGACCCTTCTCGTCTCGAACCAAAAGCATTTAAATCAAATCATGACCATTGCGTCATTTCGAATGCTTCTTTGTTGAATTTACGATCATTTTGTCGTCATTAAATTAAAACTCGTTTTCTCTTATTTCAGACATTCTGTATAGCAGTTTCCATGTTTCTGAAAAAAGAAAATAATATTGAAAGTTATAGAGTATAAATTAAGGTCAGACAATTACAATATCTTCTCTAGTGAACCTGATGGAGGTACATAAAAGTGGCAGCATCGACTTCAAATTATCTTTCATTTACTGCTGTAGTTGAAATCCAATCATGACTTTTGATTCTTTGTATTTGAGGAATCTATCAAGCTAATTTACGGAAGGTCGGTGGTTCTAGTCAGGTGCATTGTGTCTGAAATGTTTCACAAAGGGTATCTTGGGTTTTTCTTTACACTAAAGCATGAATGTTTTCACATGACCTCAGTATCGTTGAAACTTAAAATCCAAGAAAGCCAAACGTAACAACCCCTTTTAAATATTTATAAAATACATTATGGTAGATCTATGGAAATTCCAACTTAAAATTTAAGGTTGAAATATCGCTCACTTAAATACTGTTTAATCATTCTTAGGGTATTGCCTGCTTGTTAATCGTGTCTTTTGACAGCTTATCTATGGTATGCAGGCTTCATAACCTCCGATCCCCTCTCAAAATTTCATTTTATTTAGTTTAACTCATTAATTGTATTCTCGTTTAGGGAACACGAAATGTTTAACCTGAGGGTAATATGCCCACAGACGCTTGTGGTTTGGAGCTCAAAACGCCTTTAAAATCCAAATAAAATGCATATTTGTCAATCCCAGGACATGTACTGATCATATATATCAAAAAATCTTAATATATGCCGTTTTGAAAAAAAATCATATTTCAACAACTATAATAATACACAAGATAAAAATGTTCGCCGGAAAAAATCCGCACCCCTACCGTCATAATCACCATGTATTTGAATCCATTTCCAATATTTTCACATAATCCTTTGGTCCATCGACACAGAAGATATAATTCTTCACGATGATGGTCAATTTTAAACTTCAGCGGTAATATAAACAACGCAACAGCCGAAATAAACATCAATATTATCGCCGTTTTTTTCAACGACAAAATCTTTCGATAAATTCAATGGACCAGACGGCTATGAACGAAGCTATCCGATTATGTGGTTCCCAAACTTTAAAAGCGCTGCGCATTTTGCACACGGCAAAGCTGGGGCCACATAATCGGATAGCTTCGTTCATAGCCGTCTGGTCCATTGAATTTCTCGAAAGATTTTGTCGTTGAAAAAAAACGGCGATAATATTGATGTTTATTTCGGCTGTTGCGTTGTTTATATTACCGCTGAAGTTTAAAATTGACCATCATCGTGAAGAATTATATCTTCTGTGTCGATGGACCAAAGGATTATGTGAAAATATTGGAAATGGATTAAAATACATGGTGATTATGACGGTAGGGGTGCGGATTTTTTCCGGCGAACATTTTTATCTTGTGTATTATTATAGTTGTTGAAATATGATTTTTTTTCAAAACGGCATATGTTAAGATTTTTTGATATATATGATCAGTACATGTCCTGGGATTGACAAATATGCATTTTATTTGGATTTTAAAGGCGTTTTGAGCTCCAAACCACAAGCGTCTGTGAATATGCCGCTTTTCATAGAATGGCAATAACGTGTCACATTGATAATTTTTCTGCAAAAGAAAAAAAGTAAAACAACCTGTCAAGAATGTATTAAATATAGAAAGGTATGAGTTATTTCAAAAAAAATAATGGAAACACGAACTTTGTTTGAAATTTGGCAAGTATCTAAATTGTAACCGAAATCTGGATATAAAGTAAAACTGTAACAAAATTGGAACAAAATCGCTAGGTCTATGCTGTAACCCTTCAAAATTAACCTCGCTCTATACTGTAACATTGTTTATTTTTTCAAACGCATTTTACCAACAGGAAAATAGGTTCAACTGGTAATTTACTTTTATAAACGTTTCTAAACACAAAGGACTAACGTTTTGTAGATTTACTTTATCTAGGCATGCTTAAATAATGTCGAAATGGGTAAAAGATGCGTTGGTCTCTCGATTCAAATTTTTAAACCTTCAAATCTGCACATTTATGAGACAATATAGAGATAAATCTGCGATGCGGAGTCTGAAGAAATATATGACTAGATACCGGATTCTGTTCCTTACAAGTTAAGCACAAAAAACATCTTTTAGAAACTAAACTACTAGTAGTATGGACCGGAATAAAAATCTCATACCTCTCTTCCCATAAATAATCCATCGTCTTGAAAATTCTATACTGTAACCGGAAAACGCGATACTGTAACACGTTCCCTACGGTGATAATGTGCCTCAATGATTTAGCAAAACTTTCGGAATAATTGAAAATCGTATGTTTATGCTTTTCATAGACCGATCTTAGTGAAAGCATTGCAGCGCTTTTTGATTTTTGGTTATTTTTCACATAATAATTCTAATTTTGGGGAAAAAAAGGAGTCAAGCGAATTATCCGAAATTGTACGACCAACATCAAATGGAACATTAATCTTCGGGGGAAAAAAAACAGTTCTCGGGTCAATTATCATAAAAACTCAACGGAATCCCTTTAAATAATGGTGGCAATTACTTAGACCCGTTTTTAGACCGATAGATCTACATGACACAAGTTATTTAAGCATTTAAATTTCAAAACTGAAGCTTTTACAGAATGGTGGCTTCTAAATATACATTTGAGCGCGTCATGACCAAAACCAAACATAGTGCGTTTGCGACCAGCATGAGATCCCAGTGTCTATTCTAGGAGGGGCGATGGGGGGATTCACCCATATTTTTGAGAATTCACCCCTATTTTTTGAGAGGAAGGGGGGAAATTTTACATAGACAAAGAAGGAAAAAGATCAGCAAATGTAATAAATTCGCACTTTTCGATAATAATCCCCCCTGTTTTTCGAATCCTAGAATAAACACTGGATCCAGACCAGCCTGCCCCCAGTAGAGAGAAATAAACTTCTAACATTACAGTAGAGTAACATCGGGTAATTTCGACACTTTAAGAGAATTTTGCTCACAAATGTTTAGGTGTCGATATTACAAGATTCGATTTTAACCTGAATGTGAAACTAACATTTTGGGAATACTTCTTGATTATGTAAACGAACAAGAATGTCTTGTTTGATTTGCAATAGCTCTCTTACGAACATAGATATCGTCGTATAGTATAATTTCGACATGTTTCGTCTAATTTCGACATACTCCAATTTGTTTTTTAAAAATTGAAAAGAGAACATGAAACATTTATTGTTTTACTGTGCAATTAGATAAAGATTATATAAACCACGTTCAATCATTAAATGTAATTCCATTTTGTAGTATAAGACAATAATATGACATTCAACTAATGAAAGAATTTGAGGACCTATGTTCAAATATAATAAATAAAACAATTCATTTCCGAAGTAAAAATCACGTTTCTTTTAAGTTCTGAAAAGGTTCGTAATTATACGTTTCATGCACGGATATATTTGATTGAAAAGAACGTTACCTGTTCATTGCTTTTGAAATGATTTGAAGTATATATATTGCGTATTAAGTACATACATATATGCACATCCATTGACCATTTTTATCAAACTGGACACAAAACTGGCAAACAAAGTTGTATTTTATCACTTACTCAACTTAAAATTCATCGGTTCACCTGTACGTGAAAAATTGCCATCTATTTTTGGACATAAAGTACACATAATCCATTCGTCAATCGTCAGTGTCACCATTCTAATCATTCATTATTTGTGCATCCAGAACACTTGCTACGTTGACCAAAGTTGTCGTCAGTGTCAACATAGATGGTAATTTCAGAATTTGATTCTGACGATGTCAGTAGACATGCAATACGGGACTAGCAGACGACACATTGATTATGAAAGTACACTGAACTTTTGTCCAAAAACAATAGAGGACTATCAGAGGACATATATATATAGCGAGCAGAAGATTTAATGTTCATGACAGTAGTCGGTAGTCCTTTGTCAGTACACGAGACAGGATAAGGAAACGGCATAGAACGAGCAGATGACTCAGTGTTTATGACAGTGTACAGAGATGTCTGTGCAAGAAGAAAATACAGGGTTAGCAGACTGCAAAAGCTGAATAGACAGCAATTTATCAAAGGACTTGGTGATGCTATCTCTTTATGTTAGTTACAATGCATATTTGATGAAGTAAAGTTTGCAATGTCAATACAGCGACTTGGAAATTATGAATCTAGCATTCTGCAGTTTGGCAACCAACTTGAAATTAAAAAAAAAACATAATGTCTTTTGTTGTTGTTTTTTTTCTAATTAACGTATTTGAATTATTTTTTCATGCACGTAGAGCTAGTTACTGTTGTGAATTTAAAGTTTTAATATTTCTATGACTATGTGTCGAAATTGGCCGACAGAGAAGATAAGTATCGTTCAATTTCGACACCCTTGTACAATTGTTATGCGTCTTATAATTGAGAATAAACTCAAGGTTAAATGTTCATAACATTCATATTTAAGGTTTATTTGCATCGAAACCAATACAAAAATACGAAATGATGACAAAGTTATGTGCCTGAGTTATCGACCCTTCTTATAAGATTCTGTAAATGCCTTTTTTTCGGATAAAATTACGAGCAATGGCATCCATAGACCGGAAATTTCTAGAAAAGGAAGAATGCCTAAAAGACCAAGAGCAAGTGATGACGTCACATATAGTTCTGACATCGTAAAATTGATTTAAATAAAGTAAAAAATGGTGCTTTATTGTTAATATAATAGGAAAATGGAAGAAGGTGTCGAAATTACACCAGTGTCGACATTACCTGAAGTTGCTCTAGATCTACAGCAGCCTGGAGCAAAACGAATTTATGAAATATTGTAGATTCTAGAACAAATTTATACAGTAGCCTCTACAGTATAGTACGGTATAAAGTGATGCCTGATTCTAAATTTTGAAATGAATTACTAGATCTATAATTATCTTACCACGATGTTTTTGGCGGTAACCCCATCAACTCTCTTAAGGCATTCTCCTTAGCTCTTGAAAGACGCGACAACAACTGTTTTATTCGGATAGCTTCCTGTATCCTTTCTGCAAGGTCGAACCAGAAGCCCATATTGGTCTTTTAGTCGAGTCAGTTATTGATTCATTATAATTATCAGACGACGTTTTCAAGCTACATCGCATATGACGTCATTTAACATAATTTGTTCGTTGTGACGTCACAACTTACGACATTTGATGAAAAATGACGTCACAAAATTTAATATAATCACAGGAATTTGAAATCTATCAATATTATTGATAATATCCAAAATATATCCCCTGTACAGTATAAATAATTATAAACACAAGGAATGAAACGCCTTTATCCCACCCCAACATTATTTACGTCGAGCAAATCAACAAAACAAGGGATCAAAATAAATATTTAGCGTATAAATTATGAAAATGTTAAAGAATTTTCGAGATTGTTATAATGTGACTTGGTTGTTTTAAGTGACATTATGCCCAGCCAATGATATGTAGTGAGAGAACTGGTGAAAGTCAATATATAAGTTAACATTTTGTGATAATTCCTTTCAATTTCACAATTCATATCGGATGAACGTAAATTTCCAGAGAAATACCTGTAACGTTCAATTTATAAAAAGAATGGGACCGTCTTCTTATATTGGGCAGTCTTTTTATAGGCAGACTAAACATTTTCCGTAATTATACAATTATAATAATTATATAACAGTCAATCTTTTGAAATATTCAGTCAATTTAGCTCAACTTGACAATGAAAATATGAGCATAATGTCAATTCAAAATCAGTTTCGTTGAAACACGCATATAGTTTTGCTACTTCAAAAAATACAAAATTGCAACGTGTTAATTAATTTTACATCTTTTGACGGTTAAATATGGCAGCATTTGATCTATTGTAAGAATTGAATCGAAGAAAAGAATGACTCCTTTGTGTCTGGTTGGTGCTGATTGTTTTTGCTGACCTGGACATTGTGACAGGGATAGGTATGGAAAGCCTTGACTGTCTTATAATTATAAAACTGAACTTTGTTATGTCCAAATAGCAATTTATTGAGTCAACCTTTCTTTGTCCTATAATAATATTTTCACATAGTATAATCAGAGATTGGCATAATATATTGATAGGTTGACACTATATAATGATGCTACCACATAATATACTCATAAATGCACATCGTATAATAATATAGATTCACATCGTATAATTTAAGATTGACATAATATATTTGTAAATTGACACAATATATTGATGCTACCATTATATTATCATAAATGCATATCATATAATGATAGGTTGACATCACATAAAGACACATTGACATCATATATTGTTAAGTAGAATTCATATAAGGATGCTTCCACTTTATATATTCATGAGTGCACATTGTGTAAAGAAAGAGTGTCACAACAACGTCATAAGACAGTGGCCCGAAAAAAATCATCGAGGCCTAATTTCCATGGCCGTTCTGTTACAATCTTTCTAGGCTTTCCAAAGGTAGGGTTTAAACTTTATTATAGCATAAAATCGGCTATTTCTCCCTCTTTTGCCCGTGTTATAACGGGACCAAAACCATGTGTTAACATAGTCACGCGCTCTTGTTATAGCCCGGTTTCACCTATATATATGCGCAATACATACAGGGCCCAGTAAACATACAAACAAAAAATGACGATTTGGCCTGTTTGTCGAAGAGTCATGCGCTTTTGTTATATTGAAATTTATTGATTCGAGGGCCTCAGTCGCATATTCAAGTATAACTATGCCGGAAAAACGGCGTATATACATCGGTGGCCGTGCTAATCTTGGTTGTCGCCCTCTCTAAGTTCTAAACGGACAGACTTTGTCAATGTAAACAAATACAGTACTGTAGAATCTAGACCTGTCATTCAGTTTAACACTCCGATTAACTTACAAAACTAGATAACACAAAATTAATATGAGAAAATGTTTTTTATTTATGTTTATGTTGATAAATGCTCTTTATATTTCTTTGAGAGAATAATGCTTAGTGTAAACTTGTTTGCTTGAAAAAAAACAACCGATTCTGATGTCACTGATCTTTTTTCTACCGTCAATCTGAAATCATTCTAAGAATTTCTGAGGGTCATGTTTTGTCTTGGGTAGAGGGTAGAGTAATGTAACGTTTTTTTCTTGAGATAATAAATCTCCGAAGGCCAAGCTTTGTTAAATCAATTAAAATTCAAAATTTCGTTCGGTTCCGAGAATTTTCCAAGTTGTTGGCCCCGGAAAAATGAAACGCATACGTAAAACATAGAATTGGATAAATACCGTCCAAGCACAAGAATTTAATGTAATTGTGTTTTGTATAAACTATACATCAGGAATCTGTTTGAAAATTTTATGCTATAATAGCGTCAACGCACGTTTATTTCGTGTTATAAAGTCTGCAGAGTCCCTCGGAACTGTTGGAGGGCGAGCACCAACCGTTCCTCGGGACTCTGCAGACGTTATAACACGGAAAAACGTGCGTTAACCCTATAAAGTAATGATGTCTGTAGTGGCCACAGCTTATTGTAAAACCTTGCACAAAAAACTAACAACAACAAAAGACTAAATTCGCCACTTAATATTGATTCTCTTTTCCATGTCTACACTTTTGATTTTGAAAATACAATACAGGGTAATCATTCTTGTTTTACGGTAGATGGAGCTACATGTTTCATTCAAAAAAGGTGGGAATATCACGTATTGAGCCTAAACAAGGTTGTCCAATTCAAACACGTTTATTCAAACTAAATGACCTGTGACTGAAGTTCTGGCAATAACCGTGCTTGTTTAGAAATGTCCCATTTAAATAACCAGCACTGGCTAACATCGATGCGTTACTTGCTCGAAGATGGGGCATGTTTTTCCGTAACAGATATATTCAGATTTTACGATGAACAGAAAAACCTAATCTTATAGTTTGGTTTTATACATACTGATTACACGGTCGATGCACACAATATATTAATCTTCGGTAGATTTTCGACAAGTTCCGTAAGATGTACTATTTACGATGGAATTTAAGTTAATTTGTATCTATGGACTTAGTGTACTTAGAGCTATAAGGTTAAGCACGAGTTTATAATGTAAGTGCCATACATGTTTTAAGTTCGAGACCGCGTTGGTCCATGTTTTTTTTCTTATTAATACTTTTAACATTATGAAAGCAACATAATTATGACTATTTTTTATGTTGATCGTTTTGTTTTACTATGTTTTACTTAATTTTGTAAAGTCTATACTCTTTTTAGATAACATGTTTTAAGAATTCATGTTTAAAATTAAAACGGATTAAAATCAATAAATGTCTTTTTAATGCAGTAAAACACACTACAAATCGGTTCCATTAAAATATACTGCAAAAAAAAGAGAGAGTAAAGCCTAAAAGAATGTCATCAGTAAGAATCGAATCACAAGCCTCTCAATTATCAGGCATTCTCTTAACCGACTGTGCTACTGTGAATTAACGAAAACCGACATATCAAGCTGGCCTGACTTTCAAAACATGACTTATATACTCAACATTAATTCTCGTAAGCTACACGGACCAAACCGAAGTGGGGTCGAATATCAAAATGAGCGCTATAATGTATTCATAATTGACAGGTCAATAAAATCAGACAATAAGTTCATTTCTTCATAGTATAGTCAAGCAGAGTATTCTACTTATAAAATGAGCCGTGTCATGACAAAACCAACATAGTGCGTTTGCGACCAGCATGGATCCAGACCACCCTGCGCATCCGCGCAGTCTGATCAGGATCCATGCTGTTCGCTTACAAACCCTATAGCAAGTAGAGAAACTGATAGCGAAAGCATGTATCCTTATCAGACTGCGCGGATGCACAGGCTGGTCTGGACCCATGCTGGTCGCAAACGCACTATGTTGGTTTTGTCATGACACGGCTCAAATATTGTTAAATCACAAAGAAAATGCTTGAATGAAGATATGTGTGCAATTTTTGATTCCACAATGAATGGAATTCATTTCATTATAAACTATTTTAGAGAATTATTATGAAAACTGCAAGATATTTTAGAAAGCAATGATCATATGATCTGTTGAATATACTTAGTTGTCTTCTTACACAAACTTGAGATAAAGAAGTAAAAAGCAAAACTATAAAAAAAAGACAATGACTCCAGAACTAGGCAAAACAGGGTTATAGATCTTGGGCACTAAATTTCTCCATTCAGAGTTGCTGTGGGAAAACATTTTGCATTGACAAGTACTGGGGGCATTAAATACAAAGTATAGTAATTGATTTTAACTTTAAGGTAATTATCAATCTAAGAAGTTTTAATGTTTTATCTCGAACAATTTTTTCAGTTATGCTCCGGACAAAAAAATAATGTGAAGTTGATGCTTATTTACACTTTTTCACTTTGCCCTCGGGAAATAACTGATTTTGGAAAATAACAGAGGCAATTGATTATGGGAAATTTCTGAGGATTTAACTCCAAAATAATGCAAAAGGGATTTATTGTTCTTAGTGACTGCACTTTTCCTAAATGAGATCTGTCCATCTATGTTGTATCAAATTGATCCCTTAATACTTTTGAATTCTGCCGTTGAACAAAATGAGCCAGAGTGTGAATAATTAAAAAAAGCAAGAACTCCAAATTATGTAAAAACATGGGTCAGACAGAAAAATACCGCACGTAGCCGTGAATAATTTAGTGTGTCCAGGATCATTTTTAAACGTGTGATGGACACAACGCAGACACATGATCGGACATGAAACCAATGCTTTCTGAGTATCACATGTATATGAAATTAAAATTATCGCTTTTCACCTATTTCAACTGTCAACTTCTTAAGTTTTAACTGGTAATAGTCACTTTGAACCTTGAACAAGTCTCTTTCATCTTTTAATAAGTTCACCTCCTCTTTTAATTTCTTTGTTTCTTCTTGGAATTTCTCGATTTCAGCCTTATTATATATTTTTGTTGATCTTAATGCATCTATCTGTAGTTGTAGAAAGTTTGCTGAAATAAAAGAATTTTTTATATGAGCCGAGTCATGACAAAACCAACGTAATGCGTTTGCGACCAGCATGGATCCAGACCAGCCTGCACATCCGCGCAGTCTGATCAGGATCCATGCTGTTCGCTTACAAACCTATAACAAGTAGAGAAACTGATAGCGAACATCATGGATCTGTTCAGACTGCGCGGACGCGCAGGCTGGTCTGGATCCATGCTGCTCGCAAACGCATTACAAATAATTTACATATAGACAATATTGCGACAAATTTATATGTGAAAGATTATTCCTTTTTAATATAATAGTTGCAGTTATTTACTAACACATATTGCTGGCCCTGCAGTACTTCCACAAAAAGAGTATTTTCCTTTAGTGTAACTCATATTTATTTCTATAACATCTAACAATCTATATATAAGCTAACTTAAGTTATTAAATATATGCCGATCCTCTAACGTTTACTCATGTGGGTAGATACCGAACTATCTACCTAACTATAGTTCTCTTTATACAAAACATTTTTCAAACCAGGAAGAACAATATTTGCATGACTGGCAATAGGCTTAAAGGGTTACTTATTGTAGATTTACAAATGTTTGTTAAAGCTAGATTTTGTAAAATAGAACAATGTTAGCCGACGTGACAAACGAAAATTTAATTTCACTCAAAAGAATTAAAAAAAAAATACCTCGACATCCCCATTAGCAGACGGAAAGATATGAAAGTCCGCACGCTCATAATCAAATATCACCCATGAACCTGGTGCAGGTTGTCTGTAAGCCACCAGCTAACTCAAACATTGTTTCAAATACTCATTAAGTAGCGTATATTGTTATCGAATATCTCGTCTTTAGACCTTCGTCGGACAAAAAATATATACCATATAGGAGAATATTATTCAAATTTCAACACTTTTCTCATTAAATTCTATTTCAATTTTCGTATTCGTCTAATCGTACGAAACATATAGAGGATATTTGTTTGTTTGTGTGTAAGATGAAATTTTATTTCATCGAGTGGGCTTTAAAAACAGTATTCTCACGAGTGGCGTAGCCACGAGTGAGAATACTGTTTTTAAAGTTCACGAGATGAAATAAAATTACATCTTACACAACAAACAGACAAATTTTCTTTTTATTTTATGCTTTAAAACAAGTTAAAACGAAATTTCCATAATTTGAATGTTAATATTAAAATCTGTTTCCCCCATTGAGAGCCCCATTTAGAGGGAATTTATCATTAAAAACAAGAAGTCTTGAGCTGAAAAATAAGTCCGCCAATCAAGGTTAAATGACGGTGATATTTATTCATTTTATTAAAAAAATATGAATGATCGCTTGTTTTAATAATAAAAACAAATAATTCTTGTAGGAGAAAAAGTCCAACCATCCATCCATATTTCTGTTACTTACTGCGAATTTATATTAGACCTGGCTTTGTAAAATGTAAGCGGCAGCCATTTTTTAAAGTTGTGTATTTCATGGGAGGAAAATAATTGTGTAAGATTCAGAAGGATATAATTTGGATTTGTTAGTCATACACCTTTTTAAAAGAAAGAAAACTTATTTGAGGATTGTAACAGACAAAAAATAAGTGTTGACAGAAGTGAAAACATTCAGAAAAGGAGCTAGGAAAATGGAAAACTTGGAAGCTTGCTAAGGCATTGTAAGGAACGCTGGGTTGTTTTACTTATTTTACGAGTGATGGCTGTCAATGCTTTTCAATTTTTCATAAAGCATACGGCAGTTATTGCTCGTAGGATACTTTAATATGCCCAAATGTCATCAAGAGCAGTTTAGCATGGGGAAGGAATGTATTTTTTAGACTGTATAAACGAAACAAAAAAAATTAGAGACGAAATTTTGTGATTGGAATTTGAAGGAATAGAAGTAAGTTTTCTCTCTTTATTTCTTTTGACATTTAAGTTATTTATCTATTTCAGCTTTGCTATTTTTTTTAACAGCCTGATATTGTCAGAATTGTCAGTAAAAATAAAATTGAGGTACCACATGGGGAAAATCTTAAAAAAGTAGTTTCGTCATTGAAAAAAGTGAAATTATATTTTGATAATTTTCACTGTGAAATTATCAAATATAATTTTCACGGATAAATCAGTAATCCACTGAAAAGCATAAAATAAAAAATAGTACAAGAAGACATTTTATAAAATCTGCTCATTTAAATCTGTTAGGGACGAGCTTGTTGTAACAACCTAATTTTTTCTTCTATGACCTTGTGTCCCTAAAACTATTTCAATTATTTTATCTCTTCAAGGGTACAAAACAGACAGTGAACCTGCTGTATAAACAATATTTTAACTGTAATTAAGAAATAATATATTCCAACAGTGATTTTATCTCTAAATAAATAAAATAACTTCTTGGGTTTCGGATGGGAGAGAATGCAGAGTGATATAATGCGGCACATTTAAATGACAATGATTTTTTGACGATAAAAAAACACTACTTAGTATATGCTGCCGTACCTGATATAAAGTTTAATCGCAGCTTTATGAATATATCACATGTCTTAATATAATCATCGATTCTTTTGCATGTTTATTAAATATACCGTGTTACTGTAAAACTGGTATATTTTATCTATATATACAAAGATGGAAAACAGAAAAATGTGCCGAAAAGCTATAGATCATTGAGTTTATTACCCGTAATATACAAATATTCGAAAAGATATTGCACGAACGATAAAATAAATGGACCAAAGTGAATAGAAAGATTTTTCCAAACGAGCAGCAAAATACTTAAAAAAATACTTAGATCCCAATACTGTTTCATTTAATTTTCAAGAAACGATTGCTCATCAGTGTGAACTAAACTCGAATACCCTTGTTATTTTTCTTGACTTTGATAATGTTATACCTAATAGGCTATTCATAAAATAGAAAAAAACTTTGGAATTCATGGACGATTTTTAAGAATGCTTATATTAACAGTTACACTGGCTTAACCGGACACATCTTAGTCGATGAAATCTTGTCTGAAAGCTTGTCTGAAAGCTTAAAGTACAACAAAGTATTCGTCAAGGGGGAATATTGTCAACATGGCTGTATCTCCTTTTTAAAGATGAACTTCTTCAGTCATTACAGTTAAGTGGTCATGGAACGGTTATTTAAACTATAAGAAGTGGTTATCCAACGCCAGCGAACGATATCGTTATTCTGCCGCCAGACATTAAATCTCTTGAACACTAGTTGAATATAGCGAACAAATATGCATTTAGATGGGGAAATGAATTCAATGACAGTAAATGCAAATTATAGCACTTTTATAATTCTGACAGACAGGCGGTTAAGATATAAATATTAATTTCGGAAGTGCTTCTCTAATTCCAGTGGACACTGTTACTCACGCCGGAATTGAACTACACAAATCGCAAAAGTTTTCAAGTGCTGTAGAAGCGCGTATCCGAAAAGGCCGCTCATCTCTATTTCCTATTCTATCTATCGACGAGACTCCTGGTGAAGTTAATCCTTAGTTTTAGCCTCTTTAGTGAAAAATGTTACATTGACAACTGCCTTTTACGGAGCAGAATTATGAAATGATTTGCAGACACTGATATTCTTAAGATGGCAAGGTTATTCCGGTTAGCTGCCAAATGCATTCAGCACCATCCGAGGAGAACCCCAACTGTGTCCATATGCTTAAATACTTATTGCTTTAAGGTAACCTGATATAATGTTAATATAATCATCTAGAAATATAATCATATAGAAGCTTATACATGTTTATAAAACTATTAAACTTGAACTTAATCAGGTCTGTTTAATTGTATATAAATGCACATTTGGCATTATCATTTATCATATGTTAACCGTTTGTATTTCATGTTGTATGTGTTGTAATCGCTGAAAAGTGGAAATAAAGAGTATATATATAATTATTTGCGAAGTATTTGATAATATTTTTCATTCAGGAAAACAGTACAGTTGGTTGCATTTTATCACTAAAATGTTTGATAGATTTGTACATGGCCAACAAAAGGAAACTATTTTTTGTATTTTATAGATTATAAAAAAAAGCCTTTAATAATATTATTAAACTTGCTTTATGGAATAAGTTGCTAAGTTCAAGTATAGATGGTTAAGTATGTATGGAAATATAAAATATTTAGTCCCAAAAAGCTATGTTTTCTGTGTAAACAAAGTCTCGTAAGCTCGCCTTGCCAGTCCTTCTATGTTAATAGGGGAAAATGCGGGTCCCGTTGGAACTCAAAAAAATGAAATAAAAATATGCTTCTTTTTGACAGTATTAATGGGGGGGGGGGTAAAATTTTACGGACAGACATTGAATGGAATTGACAGACGGACGTATGCGCAATTCGGTATAAATCCTGTTTAATTTCTTCATAACTTCGTTTATGGGGACTACTGTTTTGCGAGTACATAATAGTTTATTAAGTGTCTCATCTATGTACGAAACGTCATATAAAATACATATAAAATACATAATGAATGTATATTGCCAATCTATACGATTTATAAAAGACAAAAATGTTGAACAACTATTTACACACACAAATCCAAAAAAGCACCTTTTCTTATTAAAACCTGTGTTCAAAGGAATTTACTAAAGAAAATTATAATATTGGGATAACAATGTACCTTAAGTAAATATTTAATAAAGGAACTCCAAAATTATGCAAAAATAATGGGTTACACAAAACACCGTACGTAGCCGTTCTATGTATTACATGTAATTACTTTTAATGTCTGACCGCAAAGGTATGATTGAGTATGATTCCATTACTGCTATAAAATGACCAAGTGTCACAGTTACATAAGATAAAATCATCACTGTTTACTTATTTCTGCTTTCAACTTCTGAAGTTTTAACTGGTAATAGTCACTTTTAACCTTATACAAATCTCTTTCCACTTTCAATTTATTCACTTCCTCTTTCAATTTCTTTGTCTCTTCTTGGATCTTCTAGATTCCAGCCTTATTTTTCCTTTTTTCTGATCTTAATACATCTATCTGCAGTTGTTTTAAGTTTGCTTAAATAAAAGAAATTAATCGTTATGTAAATACTTTCAATATTGTTTGCATATAGGGTATAAATATGCTCAAAAAGGGAAAATTTAAGAAAAAATGTAAAATCCAGTTAAGTCTTGATAAAGAACAGACATGTGCTTTTGTATGACATTATAACATTTCACATAAACTTTAAGCTCGACCAAACGTTTGCGTCTTACAGATTGAATGACATACAATGGAACTTTATAATTATGAACATTACCGGCACTAGTTGTCCGTTAAACTCATATATGCCCAAACAATAAACCAATGCCAAAACAACAAACTACATGTATAATAAACTCTATTGAATAAATCAAGGCAAAATGTTCATTCTACCAGACTTATTTTCGTTTAAAATACTAAACTAACTGAAATTTCTACAATATTATTACCTGACAAGACCCCCCTTCTTCATTTTCGCCGTTAGATGATTTTCTTTCTAGATATATAAGAAGTAAGAAAATATAATAAGTTCACCAAATAGTGCTACATTGCTATTACACCAAGTGGAATCAGTCATTTACAAAACATGCTCTGTCATACCATATAAGTACCCTTTCGAACAGAGAACAAAATTAGTACTATATTCCTTTAATTGTACACCATTAATTTGTTGGCACTATACGGCGATAAGCATTTGTAACTTGGAATAGAGTATATCATCCCTTCTGTGTTGGTTTTGCCATCGTCAGATGGTTCTACTATGATCATGAACAGGCGTTTCCCTTGCTAAACAAAACATAACAAAGTATTCCAGATGTTTTATTGAGATATTGGTCAAAATTGCAACAAGCGAGGTTTTGCAAAATAACAAGAAAAGTCTTTACAATTTCATTAAGGGCAGTGTAAATTATTTTTATAATATCTCAACAACTTTAAAAATTAAGGCAACCAGAACGCCAACTTCACAAAAAAAGATTAAATCAGAACTTTCTCAGTGCATTTTTTTCATAACGTGTTGAACTATCAAAAGAACTTCCGAGCCTTTTTATAATATTCACAAGAGTTAAAACTTATCGCTTTTAGAAAAAAATAAAAAGATAATGACGTCTAGAACGACGGAGAAAGGGGGGACACCACAAAATCTCAAAATACGTGAGCTTAATAAAAAGACGGTGTAAAACAACTTTAAAATTTAAAACTGTTTGGTCTCTGGGCCTCTTTCCAAAAATGAAAAAAAAAATTGAATTGCATTAGAAATGCACACATATGTAGTGCACACCAGATACACTTTGTGTAACCTTTTATAAAGTTAAGAAGCCACCAACTTCACGCCGCTTGGACGCCATGCGGCGGAGCTCTTAACTTCGCGCCGCTTGGCCGCCAACTTCATACATCTTACTACTAGTAGTGCAACCCTTGACGCTCTGTTCGAAGGGATTCATATAGGGTGTGGCAATGCTCAATAATAGGTCATTTGAAAAAGACAGTTTTTACCTACAGATAACATTATATACTACATTGGTTAAACAACTAAGCTTTTTCTTTAAACATACTTACAATTTATACATTTTACAGCATGCCAAAATAGCATGTGATATTGAATCGAATGGACCAACCAAAAGTGAAGTAAATGACGCATTTGTCATGGTATTGAAAACAAATTGATCGTCCTAAATGTTTTACTCTTGAATAATTATTTCAAAATTTTAAAGCTGCTTTAAATAATATTTTTGTAATAATAACATAATTTTATTATATACTTATAAATGAAATATTGAGAAATATTGATGAAATAAAATGCATATTTTTATTTTCCGTATTTTCACTGTAAAAATTTATTTTTCACTGCAGTGAAACATATTTTCCGTATTTTCACTGGTGTCTTGCCGGACTACTTTCTTTTACATTCTGCCAGTACACAAAATTTAAGGGAAAGTCTTTTAAATTTTAATGTCAAAAAAGAGAAAAATGTATATAATAAACAGAAAATTCAAGTTTTTTCTATAAATACATGATTTATTTTCATCTTGTGGCATGAAAATTACCATATTTCACTCGTGGCTACCGCCACTCATGAAATATTTATTTTCATACCACTCGATGAAAATAAATCATGTATTTATAGAAAAAACTTGAATATCCTCTATGTATTTTACTTCTCTAAGTATTTTCCCAGCTTTTCAGCTCTCTCTAGGTATTGGATACACTTTGCTCTTATACTCTCTTTTGCTTTATCACTCTGTGCTTCATCTAACAAAATAATTAATTAACCAATTTAGTTTTTACATTTATGTATTGCTTGATTGGGTTTCACGTCGCACCAACACAGTAGAGGTCATTTGGAGATTTTCCGGAAGATAGTTGGATACCTTCCTCACATGAAAGAAACCCAATCTCTGGAACATTTTCCTGCCAGTCCTTACAGAATTCGAACTCTCAACGCTAACGGGCAAGCGGTTTGTAGTCAACGATCTTAACGATCTCAACACACCTGATTAACCAAACATGCATTACATTGATTAAGGAGATCTCTGTACTACACATTATAAAAACAACTAGAACTATCGCTCAATGCGATTCATACCCCCACCAATGTCCTTGACAGAAGACGACTTGGAAGGTGGTTAAGGGTAAAATTTATTTGCACAAATACATATACATAAAAAGAAATTATTTCTGGTGAAAAAAGACTAATTGTACAGGTAATAGTATAAATATATATTGTCAAATCATGTTCGAAACAGTTACAAATAACCTTTCATTTTCCCAATGTACTAAACATTTTCTAAGTCAATTTTGATCTTCAAGTGTGTTGACCTTAAGCTGGCACAAGGGTAAGATGGGTTCTGCACATTGCCAAGTTGGGGTGACCATTTGAGTAAAGTTTGAAGAAAATCTTTCCATTAGTATAGAATTTATAGAGCGGACACGACAAATTGTCTAGTATTAAATTTATGTAAATTTAAGACTTAAAAAGGGGCATAACTTTGTCAAAATGTGATACAGAGTTATGAAACTTGACCTGCATATCTTATTTGTGACACCTCATATATCTTTTTAAGTTTCAAGCAAATACCTGTGCTAGTTTCAGAAATATTCAAGTACATGTTAAATTTTAAGAAAATTTTCTAAGTCAATTTTTGATCTTCGAGTGTGACCTTGACCTTTAGCCGGCACAAAGGTAACATAGATTTTGCTCATAACCTTGTTGAGGTGAACATTTGAGTAAAGTTTGAAGAAAATTCTTCCATTAGTATAGGATTTATAGAGCGGACTCGACATATTGTCTAATATTTGATTGTTTGTAAATTTGAAGACTTAAAAAGGGGCATAACTTTGTTAAAATGAAATACAGAGTTATCAAACTTGACTAACATATCTTAATTGTGACACTTCATATATATTTTAAGTTTCAGAAATATTCAAATGCATGTTTAAATTTAAGAATATTTTCTAAGTCAATTTTTGACCTTCAAGTGTGACCTTGACCTTAAGCCGGGAAAAGAGTGACATGGGTTCTGCACATTACCTTGTTGAGGTAAACATTTGAGGCAAGATTGAACAAAATCATTCAAGTAGTGTAGGACTTACAGAGTGGACAAAACATACTGTCTAATATTTGATTGTTTGATATTTGACCTTCAATTGTGACCTTGACCTTGAGCTGACACATGGGCAACATGGGTTATGCACCTTCCCTTGTTGAGGTGAACATTTGAGCCAAGTTTGAAGAAAATCTTTTATTTAGTGTAGTACTTACAGAGCGGACACGACATACTGTCTTATATTTGATTGTTTGATATTTGACCTTCAATTGTGACCTTGACATTGAGCTGACACATTGGCAACATGGGTTCTGCACATCCCCTTGTTGAGCCAAGTTTGAAGGAAATCCTTCAATTGGTATAGGATTTATAGAGCGGACACAAAAATGGAGAAGGACGGACGGACGGACCGACCGACCGACGAACGGACGGACGCGACGAAGCGAATCCATTACAGCCCCCCCCCCAACATTTTGTGGTCGGGGTATAATTACTAAAAGTAAAAAATGTCTATTTTTAAAGGAATTAGAAATTCATTGAAACCAACTTCTTGTTAATTTTATACGGTAAATAAGGACTTCATACAGTAAACTTCGTATCAGAATAGTGCTTTACACTGAATAAACTATATTAAGAGACATTATAACAAAAACAAAAATTCAAGATGAAATCAATAATGAAAGAATTATTTACTGTTCAAAGCTTGTAGTGGCTCTTGTAAACGAAACCGTTCCAAAAGGGGTGAATAAACATAAGTGATAGCCTCATCAATCTCTTGTGCAAAACTTAAAGATCAAAATCATATTTCTACTCACGTTTGATTGAATGAAGGAAATACTCTACTCCATGATCGTACAGCTTTAAGGCTTCATTATAATTTTTCTTTTTATCTTCTTGTGTCGCCTTTATTACAAGCTTTATAGCTATCTTTAATTTGAAGAAAAAATATTTGATTATAGAAAATGAAAGTTTCACACATACTAGTAATAGAAAATTAAAAAGTATGTGTTTTATTCCATAGCTTTTTGGGCCATCGTACATGTATATATAAATATACGATAAATAACAGTTTGATAATTGAAAATGAACGTAATTTCACACATATTAGTAATATAGAAAAAGTATGTGGTTCATTACATATCATTTTTGGTCTCTGTACATATAAATTATTATCATTATAAAGTAGATTTATGCGGAAATCTATTTCCAATTTAAACCCCCCTTCGACTTCACTGTAAATAGTATCGAAAAAATTAATGTATACGATAGAAGTTTTCCAAGTGACAACTATAAATGTATAAACAATAATTGCTTGATAGACAAACCATTTTTATAGTTATAGTGTACGGAATGCCGTTAGGGCCATCGTCTATGAATATGTTGATCTAAAACGCGATAGTCGATAGTACGAGGGTGAAAACGCAAAATCACGAAACTACGATGGTGAAAACGCGAAAGCACGACGATGAAAACTCGATACTACGATGATGAAATCGCGACAGAACGATACTACGATAATGAAAACGCGATAAACTATCGTGTTTTCACCATCGTACTGTCGCGTTTTCACCATCGTAGTTTCGTGATTTCGCGTTTTAATCATCGTACTGTCGAGTATCGCGTTTCAGATCAAACCATTAATAGGCGATGGCCCTAACGGCATTCCGTACACTATAACTATAAAAATGGTTTGTCTATCAAGCAATTATAACGATAATAAAAACGCAATAAACTATCGCCTATGAATGTGTTAATCTGAAACGCGATAGTCGACAATACGATGGTGAAAACAAGAAATCACGAAACTACGATGGTGAAAACGCGAAAGTACGATGATGAAAACGCGATAGTACGATGATGAAATCACGACAGTACGATGGTGAAAACGCGATAGTACGAAAATGAAAACACGACAGTACGATGATGAAAACGCGATAGTAAGATGGTGAAAACGCGATAGTACGATGGTGTAAATGCGACAGTACGATGATGAAAACGCGAAATCACGAAACTACGATGGTGAAAACGCGACAGTACAATGGTGAAAACACGAAAGTTTATCGCGCTTTCATCATCGTAGTATCGTACTGTCGCGTTTTCATCATCGTACTTTCGCGTTTTCATCATCGTGTTTTCGCATTTTCACCATCGTAGTTTCGTGATTTCGCGTTTTCACCATCGTACTATCGACTATCGCGTTTTGAACAGATCAACACATTCATAGGCAATGGCCCTAACGGCATTCCGTAATAGTGGGAATGAAATCATCCGTAAACTCCTGCAGACGATATACAAAATATACTGTAGATGTCACCATTCAAAATAAATACCATACCCATTGTATTTATTAACTATATATAATTCACAGTTCGATATGTTAAAGCTTATTCCTTTTTAATATAATAGTAGCAGTTATTTACTAACACATATTGCTTGCTGGCCCTGTACAGTACTTCCACAAAAAGAGTATTTTCCTTAAGTGTAACTCGTATTTATTTCTATAACATCTAACAATCTATATATAAGCTAACTTAAGTTATTAAATATATGCCAATCCTCTAACGTTTACTAATGTGGGTAGATACCTAACTGTCTACCTAACTATAGTTCTCTTTATACAAAACATTTTTCATACCAGGAAGAACAATATTTGCATGACTGGCAATAGGCTTAAAGGGTAACTAATTATAGATCTACAAATGTTTGTTAAAGCTAAATTTTGTAAAATAGAACAGTGTTAGCCGATGTGACAAACGAAAATTTAATTTCACTTAAAAGAATTTAAAAAAAATACCTCGACATTCCCATTAGCAGACGGAAAGATATGAAAGTCCGCACGCTCATAATCAAATATCACCCATGAACCTGGTGCAGATTGTCTGTAAGCCACCCGCTAACTCAAACATTGTTTCAAATACTCATTAAATAGCGTATATTGTTATCGAATATCTTGTCTTTAGACCTTCGTCAAACAAAAAATATATACCGTATAGGATAATATTATTCAAATTTCAACACTTTTCTCAATAAATTCTATTTCAATTTTCGTATTCGTCTAATCCTAATAAACATAAAATGCTACAAGAAGAAATTCTATAAAATCTGCTCATTCAAATTTGTTAGGGACAAGCTTGTTGTAACAACCTATTTTTTTCTTCTTTGACCTTGTGTCCCTAAAATTATTTCAATTATTTTATCTCTTCAAAGGTACAAAACAGACAGTGTACGTGCTGTATAAACAATAGTTTAACTGTAATTAAGAAATAATATATTACAACCGTGATTTTATCTCTAAAAAATAAAATCACTTCTTGGTTTTCGGAGAAAATGCAGAGTGATATAATGCGGCGCATTTAAATGACAATGATTTTATTTAACGATAAAAAACACTGCTTGGTATAAGCTGCCGTACCTGATATAAAGTTTAAATACGCCTGATTTGTTTCAGCGTGTCGCAGTTTTATGAATATATCACATGTCTTAATATAATCATCGATTCTTTTGCATGTTTATTAAATATACCGTGTTACTGTAAAACTGGTATATTTTATCTATATATACAAAGATGGAAAACCGAAAAATGTGCCGAAAAGCTATAGATCATTGATCTTATTACCCGTAATACACCATTATTCGAAAAGATATTGCACGAACGATAAGATAGATGGACCAAAGTGAATAGAAGGAATTTCCAAACGAGCAGCAAAATGCTTACAAAAAATACTTAGATCCCATTACGGTTTCATTTAATTTTCAAGAAACGATTGCTCATCATCGTGAACTAAACTCGAATACCCTTGCTATGTTTCTTGACTTTGATATTGTTATACCTAATAGGCTATTCATAAAATAGAAAAAAAAACTTTGGAATTCATGGACGATTTTTAAGAATGCTTATTAACAGTTACACTGGCTTAACCGGACACATCTTAGTCGATGAAATCTTGTCTGAAAGCTTAAAGTACAACAAAGTATTCGTCAAGGGGGAATATTGTCAACATGGCTGTATCTCCTTTTTAAAAATGAACTTCTTCAGTCATTACAGTTAAGTGGTCATGGAACGGTTATTTAAACTATAAGAAGTGGTTATCCAACGCCAGCGAACGATATCGTTATTCTGCCGCAAGACATTAAATCTCTTGAACACTAGTTGAATATAGCGAACAAATATGCATTTAGATGGGGAAATGAATTCAATGACAGTAAATGCAAATTATTGCACTTTTATAATTCTGACAGACAGGCGGTTAAAGATATAAATATTAATTTCGGAAGTGCTTCTCTAATTCCAGTGGACGCTGTTACTCACGGCGGAATTGAACTACACAAATCGCAAAAGTTTTCAAGTGCTATGGAAGCGCGTATCCGGAAAGGCCGCTCATCTCTATTTCCTATTCTATCTATCGACGAGACTCCTGGTGAAGTTAATCCTTAGTTTTAGCCTCTTTAGTGAAAAAAAAGTTACAATGACAACTGCCTTTTACGGAGCAGAATTATGAAATGATTTGCAGACACTGATATTCTTAAGATGGCAAGGTTATTCCGGTTAGCTGCCAAATGCATTCAGCACCATCCGAGGAGAACTCCAACTGTGTTCATATGCTTAAATACTTATTGCTTTAAGATAACCTGATATAATGTTAATATAATCTTATAGAAATATAATCATATAGAAGCTTATACATGTTTATAAAACTATTAAACTTGAACTTAATTAGGTCTGTTTAATTGTATATAAATGCACATTTGTCATTATCATTTATCATATGTTAACCGTTTGTATTTCATGTTGTATGTGTTGTAAAGTGGAAATAAGGAGTATAATAATTATATATAATTATTTGCAAAGTATTTGATATTATTTTTCATTCAGGAAAACAGTACAGTTGGTTGCATTTTATCAGTAAAATGTTTGATAGATTTGTACATGGCCAACAAAAGGAAACTATTTTTTGCTTTTATAGATCATAGAAAAGGCCTTTAATAATATTAATAAACTTGCTTTATGGAATAAGTTGCTAAGTGGTTAAGTATGTATGGAAATATAAAATATTTAGTCCCATTTTCTGTGAAACAAAGTCTCGTAAGCTCGCCTTGCCAGTCCTTCTATGTTTAATAGGGGAAAATGCGGGTCCCGTTGGAATCGATGGCACTCAAAAAAAATGAAATAAAAATATGCTTCTTTTTGGCAGTATTAATGGGGGGGGGTAAAATTTTACGGACAGACATTAAATGGAATTGACAGACGGCGTATGCGCAATTCGGTATAAATCCTGTTTAATTTCTTCATAACTTCGTTTATGGGGACTACTGTTTTGCGAGTACATAATAGTTTATTAAGTGTCTCATCTATGTACGAAACGTCATATAAAATACATATAAAATACATAATGAATGTATATTGCCAATCTATACGATTTATAAAAGACAAAAATGTTGAACAACTATTTACACATACAAATCCAAAAAAGCACCTTTACTTATTAAAACCTGTGTTCAAAGGAATTTACTAAAGAAAATTATAATATTGGGATAACAATGTACCTTAAGTAAATATTTAATAAAGGAACTCCAAAATTAGGCAAAAATAATGGGTTAGACAAAACACCGTACGTAGCCGTTCTACGTATTACATGTAATTACTTTTAATGTCTGACCGCAAAGGTGTGATTGAGTATGATGCCATTACTGCTATAAAATGACCAAGTGTCACAGTTACATAAGATAAGATCATCGCTGTTTACTTATTTCTGCTTTCAACTTCTGAAGTTTTAACTGGTAATAGTCACTTTTAACCTTATACAAATCTCTTTCCACTTTCAATTTATTCACTTCCTTATTTGTTTGCATATAGGGTATAAATATGCTCAAAAAGGGAAAATGTAAAAAAAAGATGTAAAATCTAGTTAAGTCTTGATAAAGAACAGAGATGTGCTTTTGTATGACATTATAACATTTCACATACCAAACGTTTGCGTCTTACAGATTGAATAACATACAATGGAACTTAATATGAACCTTACCGGTAAAAGATGTCCGTTAAGTTTATTTATGCCAAAGCAATAAACCAATGCCAACACAACAAACTTTAATAATCTCTATGGAATAAATCAAGGCAAAAATATTCATTCCATCAGGCTAATTCTCGTTTTTGAATACTAAACTAACTGAAATTTCTACAATATTATTACCTGACAAGACACCTTCTTCATCATCTTCACCGTTAGACGGTTTTCTAAATATATGAGACATAATAAAATATAATAAATGGAATCAGTCATTTACAATAAATGCTCTGTCATACCC